TCTTCTGAAGTATGATCGGTTCTTGGATGTCGTTGAGGTCATCAACTAACGTTTCACTTTCGTTTGACTTAACATTTTGAACACCGGTGGACATCATATTGGGTGACCAACCTCTTGACCGATTCTCTTTGATTTAACCAATTTAACTGATGTATCACTGGTGGAATAAATATTGGTTTCGTAATTGATGGGAAATTTTGTTGTTTTGAACGATTAATGGCTCTATTCTAATCTATTCAACCGGTGGTAGTTCTACTCTTTTGAGGTTAGATCATTATTTTCGCGGAGGTTTTATTATACGTTCTTAATGTTTGACTGCTTACTGTTCCTAGTTAATGTTACGAAGGATCTTAGTGTAACAGTGACAGCACCTGCTAGGGAAATGTAATAATTAGAGGTGCAATCTGTAGCAAGTGGGCACAAATGAACGCTTTATATTTGGAATTTGTAATCAGCAGGCAATCAAGTATAAAAGAATCATTAGTTCGCACAAGTACCACAGGAACGTATTGTTTAGGTATATTCTGCTTTAATTATATTTATCCCTTCGGTACCACTTGTCTGTATTGCTCAGCACAGTTTTTCACTTCACATACGGAACTAGTTCAGTGTCGACTTTTCCAACACTCAACTAGTGTCACTGAAATTCCTCCGGTCTCAGCCTATTTGTATTACCCGGAATTTCGGAACTTACAAATAGTCTAATCCCTTAGTTTACATCTGGGGGCGACCTGAGTTAGCCAACCAATCACATATGTTTCATTCTGGTGCACGACACCTTAGCAATGTGTGTGCAGGACTAATGTAGGGCCTTCCGTCTTGCTATGAAATCTTTAACATTAGGATACTTAATCCACACCCAAAGGTTTGCATTTCTAGTTTCACTCAATTCACGGTATTACTCAACTACTGCCTAATATGATTTGTGAGTTACCGTCCTACTGCCGACATGGATAAACTGTACACCAAACATTTAAAAACAGATATAACACCATATTCACACTTTATCTTGACTTATCTGGCTGAATTTACATCGCTTATTAATGGGAACTTATTCATCTAAGATTTATTACTACAAATATCAATATTCCATTATTCAGGTGGTACTTTAAAATTATATCACTTCAGCTTAGGTGTTTACATGCATCTGTAGTGACTCACATTCATCACGAGAACACGACTGGTTTAATAAAAACAATTATTATTATAACCAACTGTACCAGTGCTTGTTTTAATGTGCTTTTGTTTGACTGTGCTAATGACAGCTATTTTGTGCTTCCATTCTTATACTCACACTTTGATTGTAACTTCGCGCGAATTCGGTTACGTTCTGTAACCAAGTTTGTATCCTGGCACGATCTCGGTATCCTTTCGATGCCACGAGATCGCCAGCGAATACATCTCGATTTGGTCCATTAAGAGTCTTCTGGTATTTGGCTTCTCGGGGATTTTATGGATTTATTTGGTTACGTCCAACCTTCGCCTTCTGATCTATTTGGCACGTGTTTCTCTGTAGCGGTGTTCATAGTTAATCCAACTCGACACCACGCTACAATTGGTGACCCGTATTTCGGAACACGCCTCAACATCTGGTCAAATCTTCCAAAGAAGCCAATTCGGTGAGTCTATGATTTATCTATCCACGTCTGTCGTATATTTTCATATTTTTTAATATATAATATACTCGACATGACGGATAACGATAAAAATAGTATTAATATAATAGACTCACATGTATGTGTACCGAATCCTTGTCACTTTTTATTCGCGTGACGATGAATTCCACGCTTTATTCGAGAAATTTTCCCCTATTAACTATTCTCCTCGCTGACCCGGCTGCTTGGTACGGAATGCATACGCATAAGCATATCTGTCTACCACCCAGCACCAAATGGTTAAGTAAACGGTTTCACTGCCAACTTAAAATGCTCTACGAGCACACGAAAACGGCAACTGGCACGAAACCTTACCGCTCGTTCTTTTAGGGATCAGAACGAGCTTAAAGGCAGATATCCAATGTTCCGCCCTGAACTTGTATACGGCACGACATTGCGTCTGCCCGGAGAATTCTTCACACCACGGAGCAGACCTAATTTCGGTAAATCAGACTACGTCCATCGACTGTCTGCATTTATGCGAACGCTGTCTCCGGTGTCAACTCGAATACAACATCGACAGGTCGCTCTCCCTCGAGAGTTATCTACCTGTTCACATGTTTTTGTACGAGTAGATTCGGTACGCAAACCTTGGCAACAACCTTACGAAGGCCCTTTTCACGTGATCGCTCGTCACGAAAAGACCTTCAAGGTTGATCGCATGGCCGCGTCGAGATCGTCAGCATTGATCGTCTCAAACCAGCACACGTCGATGACAGTGCCCTATCTGATAACCTGAGATTCAATGCTAGACCTATCAAACCTAGCGGGATCCTTAAATCATCTTCAGGTCCCACGCTAGATACATCTGAGACCTCATTCTCACGTCCCAGTCAACAGCACGCGTCATCTGCACCGTCTACGGACGAGACGACAGTCTCACGTCCAGATCAGCAGACCACGCCGCCTCTGACCTCGGATGAGATTGCAGGCTCACGAAACGAACGAGACTACCGTCTCACGTTCCGGTCGCCGAGTACGGTTACCCGTACGCTTCCGCGACTAGCCGCACAGTTAAAAACGATACGGTGTAGGATTATTCCTATACTACACGCATGCTACACTCTTCTCTTTTTTGATTTTCTTTTTGTTTCCTGAGCCCACGCCTTCGACCATCTCCGTTTGGTTCCGTCGACTTCAGTCAACTTTGGCGAAAGCTGGCCTGATCACCCACGCTCTTGTCAACGTACTCAGTCGATATATTGGTTTCGAATGCTTGGCATACGCTTGGTCTCGAACTTGGTCGTTATGGTCGCTTCTGGTTCATCGGCTCAACGTGGTTTCGTCCTACGTCTGCAGCGTTTCTGGTCCGGACCCCTACGAACGCCATCTTCAGATTCTGGATACAAACCACTCTGGTGTAGCATGCCAACTCAAACAATAAATACAACACATCGCTCCTGGTACCGTTCTCCGAAAACGACCTTCGTTGGCAACTCGACGATCAACGATCGCTTTCCTGTTCGCCAATTCTTCCGTCCTACAATCGCTCGTCAGCCGATCAGTCCCACGATTCAAACCGCTATTTATCGAAAGTGTAAACCCTTTCTAGCGGGGGGCTCCTGTAGTGACTCACATTTATCACGAGAACACGACTGGTTTAATAAAAACAATTATTATTATAACCAACTGTACCAGTGTTTGTTTTAATGTGCTTTTGTTTGACTGTGCTAATGACAGCTATTTTGTGCTTCCATTCTTATACTTACACTTTGATTGTAACTTCGCGCGAATTCGGTTACCTTCTGTAACCAAGGTTGTATCCTGGCACGATCTCGGTATCCTTTCGATGCCACGAGATCGCCAGCGAATACATCTCGATTTGGTCCATTAAGTGTCTTCTGGTATTTGGCTTCTCGGGGATTTTATGGATTTATCTGGTTACGTTCAACCCTCGCCTTCTGATTTATTTGGCACGTGTTTTGTTGTAGCGGTGTTCATAGTTAATCTCAACTCGACACCACGCTACAATTACTTGCACTATCAACACTACCAACAATCTAAGATCTGTCTTCATAATCTTGACTTGTGGTGGTCATATAATGTGACGACTTCACCTAGCGCTAATAGCTACCAGGTTAAATATGACTGAACGAGTGACTATTTTTTTACTAAAACTTGTGGCAGACTGAAGGTGTTTAAGTGAAGCCGCTGGTTATAAGAAGGACCGACTTGTACTCGTGGAAACCTTTAGATTTCCAGGTAGGGATGACAAAAGGTCAGCAAACACGTGGGTCTGAAGTTATGGAGGAACAACATACTCTGACCATTTAGTCAGAGGCCTGGGTTCTATATGTCCATGATCATTTTTTACAGCTTCTATGTGCCATCTCATTCCAGTAACCAAAAACAGCTTAATGGCAACGTATAACACAGTCCATCACCTCACACAGGCCACATAAATCTATATTATTGAGATATTTTCCAAGGATCGAGACCACACACTGTTGCATTTGTTCATCCTGGAGGAATGCATGCTAGGTTTATAGTAAGCGAATAAGAACGAATAAAACTATCAGCAGTTTTTTGAAACAATTGAACAAAACAAATGCTCTACATTGTTAGTTACTGAGAAAAAGAAAGATGAATTTATAGCAGCAATTAGCTCACCAAATCGGGTCTTATGAAAGAAAGATCCAATAATTGTTTTGGAAGAAAAATATTTGCCCGTGATCTCCAAAAACTACAAAAGAAAGCAAAATGAAACCGTTTCCTACTATCTTTAATACTACCTGACAGAGCCACAGCTTTGTAATTAGATAGCCTTCAGATGACGACACATTAGTCAGGACATAGTTTAACGATATTCCTGAAACAGTAATGAGGAAAGCAACTATTATTTGAAGGAGTAGTTATTTCGATTGTAAGCAGATGGAAAAGGAAGTCAGATTTCTATACAAGTTGTCTAGAGGAAGAGAAACGTACCAAGTTCGGTCGTAATGTGATATGGTGGGAATTCTTGACAGCACATCCTCAGGCAATAGTTTTCCTGCATTCTGGAAGCGATACATCATCCCCACATAACACTCTAAGTGTGCTCATTAAGTTAACTTGTGATCCACCAAGTAGAGGCTTCAACGCACTGCTATAAACTCTAATTTCATCATGTAACAGCCCATCTATATCTCAATGTTTAAGAAACTTGACCACCTGATTTTAACTCATTTCTGTCAAATATACGAGGTAATTGTTAACACACATTGTTATGATCATGTTCTCTGTGTAGTTTTGTTTTATCAAACCGAAACAATTTATATATCTCGAATAGCAACGCTGAATTTATGAAGTCGTAACGAAAATAAATTATTTTATTTTGTAATTCTTCCAATTTGATACAATAATAAAATGTCTGAGAACTGTCATGTGGTAATCTGTCTTTTCATTAGTTTATTTTAACAGGTACAAGAGTGCTTTGAAATGAACTGGTCACTAAAGAAGTATGAAGAGATAGTTGAAGTAATTGTTGAATAATAAAGTTCATTAATTCATATTGACATTTAAAGAGACTCTCGACGCCAACATTTAGTTGTAGTTCAACAGAGAAACTACCTCCACTGCCACCTATAGCGAAGCCCGAAGTCCCATCGCCACTGTATGCTGTATGTCAATTTATTTGATAAACTTTTTTGTATCCAGATGGTCACACGGAATGCTACACATCCACCTTTAATGAATTCCTTTACCCTGACTAAAGCTTCCCCATTCAAGGAACAGAAATACTGGCGTTCACCTAGTCAATCTATTGGGAACAATTTTTCTCCAAATGCTGCTAACTTATCAATGCAAAGCCTAGCAAAATGTGATGGATTATTTAAAATCCGTCCCAGAAAAATAAAAGAAAAGGACGAATCTAAGAGCAGGTAGGGAGGTGCAACATGCCTTTTGGTATGCTCAAAATAACTTTTTTAAAAATTTTCTGTAATCATCTCATTGTATACACAGTCTTCAGATTCAGAGTTAATATGTCAGTTGACCAACGCAGCAGGCAGCCTCGAAAAAATAAAATTTATTTATCAGCTGGAATAGTATCATTTTCTCGATAAGGTGTCCTTCTAGTTGTTTCTGTTGACCACTGAGTTTCTGATCGCATATGTACTTCTGATCACAATTTATTTGTTTAGCGTATAAGACAAAAATGCTCATGGACTTTTTAGTTTAAAGATTCAAAATTGACTATCTCTAACTTAGCATGTAAGACACCTGGTCTTCATTATACTTGTTTGTCCTGGTAAAAGCAATCTAACTGTGATCCCATCAAACTCAACAATTTGCATAAGAGTAATATTTTTGGCATGTATCTGTTGGATTTAAATTTATGTATAAGGCTTTTTGTGCTTTGGGATCACGACTGAAAAAGTGTATGTCAAGTGATAACTTTCGCAATAGGTGTTTATTTTTAGTCTATCATCACGTGTGCATAAGACTAATAAGCTGATGTGCTTAGACACATATAACCGTCTAATATAATGTCAGATTCAGATTTCAAAGTTAAGTATTGAGAGTAGAAGACCTATTGCCTGTGTTAGCCCTTTTGTAGTAGGATTCCGAAACCATCTATTCTTCTATTGAATTAGTCAATTGAAGGAGCGGAAACCACTTCTTTGAGTAATAGCTTTTAAGAATTGATGACTCGGTGTGAAAAACTGTATGTCACTTGTATTTCGTTCGTTCTTGGTTCTTCTACTCTCCTGCTAAGTCTTTTGAGATGTCACAATCTAGTGGAGAGAGAAAAAACAGATATATCATGTTCAAAATTATTCTTTAGCATTGCATACGTCGTCTAGACGATTTCCACTTCGTAGATGACCTAGCCTTTTTATCCCATACATATGAACAAATGCAGACGAAGACAATTAGTGTAGCAACAGTCTCAGCATCAGTAGGTCTCAATACACACAAGGGGAAAATCAAGGTCCTCAAATACAACACGGAGAACAACAATCCAATCACAATTTATGGCAAAACTCTGGAAGATGTGGAATCTTTCACGTACGTGAGAAGCATCATCAATGAACACGGAAGATCGGATGCAGACGTAAAGACGAGGATTGGCAAAGCAAGGACAGCATCCCTACAATTGAACAACATATGGAACTCAAAACAACTTTCAACCAATATCAAAGTCAGAATCTTAAATACCAACGTCAAGACAGTCCTACTTTACTAAGCCGAAATGTGGAGAACTACTACCACCACCATCAAGATGGTACAAGTATTTATAATTAGTTGTCTACACAACGTACTCAACATCCATTGGTCGGATACTATCAGCAACACCCTACTATGGGAAAGAACAAACCAGCTTTCAGCTGGAGAGGAAATTAGGGAAAGACGATGGGAATTGATAGGATATACATTACGCGAATCGTCAAACTGCATCACGAGGCAAGCCCTAACTTGGAATCCTGAAGGGAAACAGAAACTAGGATGGCCAAAAAACACATTACGTCGAGAAATAGAAGCAGATATGGAAAGGCTGAATAACAACTGGAAAAAGCTAGAAAAGAGTGACCAGGACAGGGGTGGATGGAGAACGCTGGTGAGAGGTCTATGCTCCTTCACGAAGAGTAACGGGCGTAAGTAAGAAGTCGAATTCCATACATCAAAATTAAATCACCTCTTAATCTGCGGTTGGACGGAATATAGAGGTCTAGCTTCTCAAGCCGCCCTTTGTATTGTAAACCCCGAATTTATATGATTGCATGGGTAGCTGCTCTCTGTACGTTTTTCAAGATGTCTGAGCCACTTTTTAAACAGGCACTCGAAGCCTGAACTCATTTTCAAGTTTGTAATACACTAAGTTTGTGTAACATTGTAGTAAACATATTACTACCTAACTCGTCAAATATTCGTCTTGAAGCACATAGGATTCTAAACTCTTTGGCTGCAACCTCGTGGCATTGGACCGTGGTCGTAAAATAATAACTCACTGTCACTCAAAAATGCTTGTGTGACAGACTAATTCAACTGAATCTTCCTCTGTGCTGTACCTAATTACTCTCGCATTCTTAATTTGCATGTAGACATACTAGCCCACGTTAATAGGCATCAGCTATATTTTAGACCAGCTAGCCAGAACATCTAAGTCCGCCTAAAGTGCACATGAATCTGTTTCTCCTGTTATTTCTCACTAGATTTTAGCATTTTCAGCGTATAGTGGTATTGGAGAATCAACTTTACTTGGGAATTCACCTAGAAATAGTATAAAAAGTAAAGAGCCTAGAAACGGGCCTTCCCATATTCTACTAAGTACTGGTTTTCAGAAGGAGCATTGGGAATTTATTCTTAATTTCTATCTACAACCTACCAAGAAATTCTTTGTCAACTTTAAGAGAGGTTCGTGAATTCTTAGATTTTCCAGCCTCAAGAGTGGTCTATTTTTTGTTATCCTACCAAATCTTTGCTGTAGTCAACGTAGATAATCTCCACTGATATTTCATTATCTAAAGCCTCTGTTCATTGCTTTCTTGCTATAAGGAGGTTTCTTGTGCAGTTTGTTCCTATCTTGAAACCATGTTATTCTCTGTTTAACAAGTTATTGAACTCCACGAATGTTATTTTTGCATTTTTAATAATTCTCTCTCGTATTTTAACTACGACACTAGTGGGTCTGAGAGGTCTCTAGTTTTATAAAAGCTTTATGGACCCTGTTTTATGCATTAAAGTGACAATTGCATCCTTCCAGTCTGTAGGTAACTCACCTTGTTCACGTGACATACCGAATGTTGTGGTCAGTGGGGCAGCAGTATATTGTTCAATTTATCACGATATTTACTTGTGCAGTTCATCTGGTCTTGTTGATTTTTCTGTTTTCAAAGTACTAAGTGCTTTTAGTACGTCATCTTGACCAAAGTCTAAAGAATATAATACATTTTCATAGAACATTCAGAATAACTGGAAAACAAAATAGAATATAATGCTACACAGTCAATTTAGTTTCTAGCAGATATCTGAATTTTTTAATATAATATATAGTTTTCTGGCTAAAAGGTTTTATTGAAATATCTTTTACGATTTGTGTAACTACCTATTTCATAATCCCTACCATCTCACCAGGGATTATTGTGCTTATCACAAACACTTCAAAAAACTTTGCATAAGAAATATGTACTTTATATTTTGAACATATTAAAATATAACCCCAGAAATTGAATGTTTACATGTCTAGTAAAAGTCGCAGCTAATTCGGTCTTTAAAACAGGTTAACTTTATTCCTATTACTCAGGTAATTAAAGAAAGTTTCATGTTCCGCTCAAGTTATTTTAGACTATACTGGTTGGTAGTGTTAAAAATCACTGGGTTTAAGATAATTAACACAAACACAAATTCACACTAGGATATTCACAAAATGTAGCTTTAAACAACTAATATTATATTTACAGACTTAATCTTTGAGCTTCTAAGTGTCCTCAGAGAAAAAATCTAATTGAAGAGAACTCCACTATTTTTGAAAAAAAACATCTAAACAAAGAGGTCTTCTGTCGATAACACTGTTTTAACCGTGCCTACATGTATGATTGAAAGCATTTTTGAAAATAAGCCAACTCGATTTCTTGTTAGTGAATTTTGGTAAAATAACAAAAAAAGTATTTTCATGCTTATCAACGGCGCAAAAATGAAAGCTAACAGAAATAGAAGGATTTTGAGCGTGAAACGAAGAAACAGGTAGTCAAAAGCTTCCTGACATTGTGCTCAAGATTTAAACAAATATATCGATTGAACTCGTTTGTTTCCAGAAAACTCTAGTTTTTGATATGTTGAGAATTCTGAAAACAAAACACTCACATGTACAGCCAATAATTGATTCTATGTTCAGGTACTTACAGAATTTATTTGGTTTAGTTTCCCCCATTGTTACTTGCAAAAATAGAGATGATTTGACGTGAAAAAAAATTAGAACGGTCTGAGCTTTAGCTATCATCTAGCAAATGTCGTCCAAAAGATTTCTTCACAAGTTCAATAGCTATCGTAAAATACATAGATTAATATTTAGGTGTTTGACTGTGACAACCATATTTCCGATAGTATATTAATACAAGGTGATCCATTCCACGAGATCCATTCATGTACTTATTTGTTCGCAAAGATTAACAAATGTCGAGTGGCCATGGAAAATTCGACCTGTGATTAATCACTGCTGATGAATGTCTTAAAATTATTGAAATAATTAAGGGATCCATACTACCTAACTTGAAACTCTTTAAACTATTTTTCACTTCATCTTGATCGAGAATTATAATTTGATCTTTGAGAAGTGGATAATTGTATCTGTGATCTGCAGTTACTGCTCAGATCTTTTAGAATTTTTCCTTGCACTTTGTATTGGACTGAAACATGTCTTTCAATCTTATTAGCATTATTTAAGTTTTTACGACACTGTAATGGTATATTTTCACTTTTGACCAGGTTAGATCATATAAGTATGTTAATTTCTACTTTAAATTAGATCTTGAACTTATTTTTTTACGTTTATAATATAATACTATTTAACCTTTTCATTCTTTAGGAAACGTTTTAGAGTTATGTCCCCAGAGGAGCAAATCGATCAAATGAAAACCTTGGAGAAAGAAAGAAATACTAACCGTCAGAAGCCATCAGAAAGAGATATAGAAGTAACATGATAATTTTATGAGTATTACTGATAAAAGTATTTTTTGCTCACATAATCTGTTGGTTGTGTTAGTCATAGAACGACCTCAGTTGGGGTACTATTGAAAACAGGTAGTACTGGACAGTCGCTTGCTCCTAGCACGCGGATCTTCAGCAGTATGCATCCATGACCTCACTGAGTACTGAACTGAAGGCCTTGAAATCTTATAATACTTGCACTTTAAACCTTCGGGTCAAAATTAAGTGGCTCTAGTGAGAAACTGTCACTATTGGGATCCAACTATGTCGAGTGATGGTCAGATACCTGTCAGATGTATTTCAAACTAATTGCTTAATATCTTGAGTTGAGTAGAGCTCTCAACCTTAACAGTTGGGTGTGGACTCGGTTAAGGACTCATCATGAGACCTAAAATTTCTGGGTTTTATCCATGGTGGGGTAGCGGATACACACTACTAAACCATTCAATTCAAAAACGAAGAAGGTATTCAATGCCTCCTGACTTTCAGTAGCTACCTAACTGAGGTCAGTCCGTAGTATAAACTAAAACAATGATGCCATAATTATTACCATTACAGATACCTTCAACTCATGTAGTCCTAATCAAAGCTTTACTGTTACGCTAACATAAGTCAATTAGTTAGACTACTTTGCATAAATAAATTACTTTGATGATAGGGCTAGGTTTCATTAACCAGAAAGTTTTGTCGCTGAGATAAAGTAAGTGGAATTTATTGAGCGATCACTTTCAAAAACAGTATTTTTCGTTGCATTTATTATTACTGATGATATTGACTGAAAACAATGAGTAATTTAATAACTCAAAAATCCAGTGATTTAACCACTGAGTCGCAGAATTAAACATGGTCGTCTTCATATAGCTATGAATAGCTTGATGATATTAATGATCCTTACCCATCAACTAAAATACAGCCGAAAACCCGAAAGCACTAAGTAAACGTTTCGTCCTAATTTAGGACTCCTCAGCTAATGTTACATGAAAACCACATTCAAATTATACAAAGTATTCACAAGAACATCTGTCAGGTTAACATATAAATAACTTTGTTTTCAAATAATATATTATTTTGAGTAGTCAAGATTCATTTATTATTCTATATTACTGACTTACTTAGTGCAAATTAATTTTTTTTGTATTTATATTTTGTAACATAGAGATATACTTACTATATAAATAAAGGTATACCAGATTTTATGCTTGCTCCATTACCAAATGAACTATGGGAAAGTTTACAAAAATACCTACCACTGAGTTTAACATTGACATGGGCAACTCAAATAGTTGATTTACAACAAGAAATACATGATGATTATGTATATGCTGTAAAAAATCTATCGGTAAGTAACACTAGTATTATAAATGTTGAATTTACTAAAGAAAAAAATACTTGGCGAGACTATAATTTATAGATGAAACAATCAGGTATAAGATAATAGGTCTCGGATTTTGGCGTGAAATTCATTCATCCATTCGGTTAAATAGAGTTTTGGCATTGAAGACGATGTCAGTTCATGGTGAAAAACCGAAATCTGATTCCTAACTTTAACCATCAACTGTAAATCATCATTCTAATGCCTCACACTGGTTTATAAACCTCATTTTTTCCTAGTTATTAGGAGGACACTCTCAAAATCATAAAGGCTTCGTTCAAATGTCGTCCATAAACTATAGTCACACCCTATTTTGTATCAAAAACACACATAAATTGAAGAAAACATTTAGAACAGGAAAGTGTCGGATAGCTGTTTTGTCTTAGTTAAGTAGTTTTTCAACTCACCTCATAATCTTCTTGTCTTTTTTGAAGCGCGATATTATTCGGTTATTTTAGACATTATAATAGCGGTAATTTTGAAGAAACTTAAAATTCTTATAAATATAGGCGATTTTAGTTGAATTGTATCAGAAGAAATTCATTTAGCTTAAACTAAGCTATATGTTATAATACGGAAGTTACGGAAAGGATTTGAAAGTTGGTTGGATCATTTTGATGCTTTCAGGTTTTCTGAACTAAATACTTTAATTAAGATTTTATTGTCGCTATGGTCAACATCATCTGCTCTTACCTTATGTAGAAGTGGATTTCTTAGTTACTTGACGAGCTTGAATCAGTTGGTTCTTTTGACGTTGTTCACGATTGGTTGATTTTGCAGGTTTCACTTGTGTTCAAGTTGACTGTTTCGTTCTGTTGACCCCTGATCATGTTGTTCTTTGATTCAGAATTTCGACATTCTCCAATCAAATCTATATTCAAAGTTGTCTGTATGTATTAATATCATTGAACCACGGATAGCTTGTGTGTAAGGAGGTCGCTTACTTGTTCAGTGTATTGTTTATGACAGCTAGTGCAACGTATTTTGTAGATTATGTTTTATTTGTGGTCTACCGTTGTTATATCTTTCGGTCCGCATGAAATTATTTATGGGCGACATTTATTTTAAAGCTTCTTGAAATACTAGCTGTGGTTTATGATGGAATGTCAAAATTATGAATCAAAGAAATTCTAAGAGTACAAATGAATTTCTAGAATAATCTCATTTAGGTCATGCGGCAATCAGTAGACAAATAGAACCGGATTCTACCCTTTAAACCATCCAAAAAGGGTCAATTAACAACATGCTTATAGGTCAATAGAACGAAACAGTCAACTTGAACACAAGTGAAACCTGCAACATCAACCAATCGTGAACAACGTCAAAAGAAACAACTGATTCAAGCTCGTCAAGTAACTAAGAAATCCACTTTTACATAAGGTAAGAGCAGATGATGCTGACCATAATGACAATGAAATCTCAATTAAACTATATAGCTCAGGAAATACAACAACTTCAAAAGGATATACTCTTATCTAACGCGGCGGTGCGGGCAAACGTGATTAATTATGAGTGATAAACAGCATAAAATCGATTAAAACTATTTGTTTAATTCATATAGGCGGTTTACAATCATAGACCAGGTCAGTTGTAGCATAAATAATAGCAATAATGTTTACGTCTATGATATTCAGTTCAAAACCAACAGGAAGCATTTATTCTTTTCAGCTTGTAAATACTCCATGGTCATTAAGGCCAACTGGAACTAAATCTTCTTCAAAGGCTTCCTATAATTAGATGTTGACCAAATGACATAAAGTATGTCAGTGTTTTGAACATAACTCATTTACTATGATGTGTTGTTTATTTTTTATTCTTTAGTCGACTACATTCTACTAGATCCAGAGGAAAGAAAAAGATTGTTTATTGAATCGTTGCCTATTCCATACCCAAACTTCGTTATTCGAGCTCCTGTTCCATGGCATACAACACGTAAAAAAGCATATGAATTCTGTGAACAATATTTATTTACAATTGGCCCAATACCATTAGCACTACAAAAAATTTGGTGCACAGAGTATGTTGAAGGCATTTAATTGAATCAAAAGTTATCGATCCATTTGTACTATGTCCTCATCCGTTTATTTATGTTAATACATTAAAATTCAGTTAGACTTAGGATTTAAAGCGTATTGAATATACTGGAACAGTTACTTTATCTATATGTGGTACTTATAAACACCACTTACCTAATAAACCATAAAAGACTGAACCAAGAACATTTAAGTCATACTGAAATCGATTAACTTTTTATGCTCCAACTTAGAATCGAGTGATTTGCATGTACATTCATTCCAGAATATTTCATTTCACCATAACTTCTTCGATAATCACAGTTTCTCAGTAAATTTTCATAACATTCTTTATAAAATAAATTAATAATGAATTAAACATTCTATAGTTATTCTGTAGGTAGTTTTTATGGTGCTTAAATGAAAGTCTTGTCAGATGCTTTATATTTTTCAACCTTTGTATAATGTGCTGAGTGATTATTATCTAATTTTTAGATGTGAGAAACAAAACGATGTATGTTTACTTATTTACTTTCTACGGGATAGGGTTTCCGACCCCATACCCAACCCTCCTTCTTTACTCGGGCTTGGGACCGGTAGTAACTCTGGAAGAGCTACAGACGGAGTTTTGTATGCTGCCGTAACTGTTATTTTCATACTTAACACGATCAGATAGTAAATCTTGATAGACAATATTAACGTCTCATATAAAAATGTCGTTACTGTCATTTTACTACCCTTCAGACTTATCAGTAAATTTATCCTACTAACAATCTTAGTATATACATTTATTTTGCTTAAACAATATTCACAAGATTCTTAGTACAAAGATCTCTGCAAACCATCAAACTTTTTCGTATACATCACCGACTGACCTTAGTTAAACAACCACTGAAAACCAGGAAGTGCATGGTAGGTTTTTTCGCGATTATCAGATTCGCAAGCGATGTTCATTTGAGGCCCTATAGGGGTTTAAAATAAGGACTTTGAAGGTTGTTGTGATATATACTTCAATTTGTATATGAATATGTTGATGGAGTTTCGTTCTCTGAGCTGGATGGTTTGGTCGTGGAGCTTCCATCGCTTTTCTGAACGACATTATCAGTAAAAACTAAGCTACAAAACTCTTCTCCAACATATGAATAAATTTAATAAGAATTATTATAAATGACCACTGTTTCTATCATTTTAATTTTCATTGATACTGAAATATTGGAAAAAGAATATATAACAACGAGAGAAATAAAAGTGCAATAAACTCATTCCATTTAAAGATTTTATAAAATAAAGTTAAGGAACAACGTGAAAAGTCATTACAAATCTCGCATTCTATTAGTATCATATACTTTATTCTATCAAGGGAACAGTTCTTTTGCAAGAATATAAATTCTCGTTGATGATGTGTTATAGTGTACCAATAAATTGGCATTTCTACACTATTGTATTTGACTAGTTAAATTCATGAGTCGATCTAAGCTAAACCACGATTGAAAACCTGCAAGCACAGTGCACTCGAAACCAGAACCTTCGGTCTTGCGTGCGAACTCAACCAATAGACCACTGAGGTGATACCCAACGATATTTTAATGAAATTGTTTCATTAGAACATGAGTATACATAGCTAAGTCTAATGATAGAACTGAACAACTACAACATTTCTTGTATCTCATTACAGTATTTCAAAAAGTTTGTTTCCGTAAGTCATCGATTACTAGTATGTAGTAAATAACCACCTTGTAATATATGCTTGATAACAAGTCAATTATAAACAACGTACATTCTAATATGAATGTGTATTTTTTTAAAATTGTCACATTTTATATCGTCACAGAGAAAGAAAGAGAGAGAAGACTGCCATCAAATGTTAGACAAAGTAATCGAAATCATAATAATGTCAATTTTAACTAAGATCGAAAATAGAATAGGTAGTTGGAAATTAACAAAACATATGAAGAATAAAGGCATTTGCATCATCATCATCATCATCATCATCATCATCATCATCATCATCATCATCATCATCATCATCATCATCATCATCATCATCATCATCATCATCATCATCATCATCATCATCATCATCATCATTATAGAAAGTGCTCATATTGATATTTTTCCTTCCTTCAATTTATAGATTTTCTCATCTACGTTTTGTAAATTATGATGAATTAGTAAATCTTCCAGAACCTTTGGAACCAATAGAATTCGAAAAACGTATCATTCAACAATGTCAAAGAACAAGAGAAATATTACGTAAAAAGTATGTTTTCTTTTAGTTTTGTCCATTATCTTTTTCTAAGATTTACAAAAAGAATATTCACCACTACAGGATTGGAATTAACGATTGTATCTGTGTGCTAATGTCGTATGACAACTCGGACTGATGTATGTACGTACGAAGTTCTGCGTTGTTGATGACTGACTGACTGGCATTTTAATTGATATATACACAGCTTAATACTAAAAAAATAGTAAACAACTGTTTAGATAACTATCAATTCATATATGGATAGTAATGAGCGTATGTGATAAGTGTTAATTAAATCGTTCAGATTCAATTCATTTCAAACTAAATATTTGAAAACGTAGCATCATTTTCTTAAAGCCAACTTTTTCATCAAAAGTATAAACCATTCGAGAGACTTATTTTGGAATAACTAGAAACGATTGAACATAAGTGAACCAATATTTCTGTAAACATTTATTTATTATATCTTTTTTGAAGGTAGGATAAGAGTTGGACATCCAGACTGGGTAACGAATCATTAGATAAAATGCATCTCTGACTTAGACAACAAGTAAGGAACACATCATAGATAGTAAATAAGAACGTCCAAAAACAAATATTCAACTAAACAAAAAATGTAACAAAGTATTGAGCTCTAATAATATAGTTTGTGAAATCAAACTACTCCAAATGAAATAACCAAATTATATCTAATCGTTCCATGAAACTAATTATTTTTACTGTACGTGGGACTCAAACCCAAAACCTTCAGTCTTGCATGCGAACCCCTAACCTCGAGTCTCGCGTGCCGGATCATCGATGCGCACTATTGAGTAGTCATATACTAGGACGGAACAACTGTCTCTAACTTCCAGGTTTTCAACGATTACAATTACTACAGTCTCCATAAATCCCCATTCTGATAATTAATTTTTCAATGTAAATAAATTATGTAACTTTGGTCAGTAATACAATATTTCCTACATCCTTTCCTTTTAAAGTACAGCAGTTATAATTAGTAATAATGAAGTTTATTTTAACTAAATATTTATTGACAATATATATATATATATATATATATATATATATATATATATATATATATATATAAATGTTAAAATAATTAAGATGTCAGATTGAGATCATGAGTCAATTGAAGTTACACCGCCATGGAAAACCTGGAAGCACTGAACGGCTGTTTCGTCATATTATAGGACTTCTCAGCAGTGTGCACCCACGATCCCGCTCACGGGATTTTAGATAATCTTTAAGCAACTGTAATTCCATGCTTAAAGTTATTTGGCATTGATAAACAAAATAAATTTGAAATCTTTAAGAACATCAGGAATTGATAAAGATGCAAATATCCAATAATTTTACTGTTACTCATAGCCTTTTATAACTGATTCATTTGACTTCAGATTGAGTAAAGATGATATCATAACTGAATATTAGTATAGAATTTATAGAATTCATTGAATTAATATATTATTTGAATTGAATTCTTTTATCTAATCTAATATGGGTAGTTGAAAGCCTAATATTTAGTAAATAGATTATTTAGCTTTTTAATGATCATCCTAATAGTTGTATTGAAAATTATAAATGTGAGAAGCGATGAAGATTAAGGCGACGACTTGAAATTAAAGCAGTAAGCTATTATATCCATTGATATAAACTTATTATTATACAAATTGATGATGATAATTCAGGTGTTTAATCAGTTAAAACTGATTTGAATGTACTTATGATTATATTTTATCTAAGTATGGGACTCCTTAACAATGCGTATCCACGATCGTGCATGAGGGATTAGAACCCAGGACCTTGGATTTTGTGTGTAAACGCTTAACCTCTAGAGCACTGAGCTGGCACCGGACAGTGTTAATGTCTAACTTCAATCAATCCACGAAATTCCGTAACCATTTTCCAGGCTTTCAATGGTGGTCTAACATTGATTGATTCATCATCTCAATGAATAACATATTATTGTTTAATACCAAATGTATTAGTTAATGTGAACACATCTTAAATATTAAACTGTATGAACTGATCTATTTTTACTTACTAATTATGTAAACTAGCAAATATAGAACTAACTGTATAAATTCCAAACTTTTCACTTCAGTTGGATACCAACATGTGCAAAGACTATTACTGAGTTAAGTAATACATGGTCTCATTTAATGCCAGTTAGTTCATCTGATTCAATGGAGTTAGTTCGATTATTTTTCGCATGTATATCAGCCTTAATGTCTCGACAGTTACGTGATATTGTAAATATATCTTTACAAGATTTACTAAAGGTATTACAAATTCATGAAGTAAGTTATCATTCGAAATTCTTCCTGATCAAATATTTGTTACATTGTTAAGAACTTATTACTCACACTATTCTAGTGTTTCATATTAGTTTCCCAATATTATCGATACTATTATTAAATACACTTTTCTTTTTATCATTTTAGTAACTTACGGTCGCTATCCTAATGTAAAATGTGACAGTTTGCATTGATGGACACCTATGTTAAATCCTGTGTTGCTTATAACTATATAAACGCTTAATTAAACACAATTACTAGTCACCTAGATACAAAATGTATATTGTTAGTCCCTTTTCATCAATCTAAATGATTGTTCTAAGAAACTTTGCTTATAGCATTGGTCATATAATTAAATGATAATTTGTTTAAAAAAAACATCTGTACCATGACAATCACTGTATTTTAGGCGACTTCAAGAACCTAAATATATAGAAATACAAAGAATTGCCTTAGTGAATAATAATGAACATCGCCGATTATTAGTCAGACGATAAATAGGACAGGCCATCATTCTAATGACTATTGCATACAGAAATCAAGGAAAGACAAGGAAGTTGTGAATTTATGAGTTCTTTTAATAAAAAAAAGTTGTTAATCGAAACATGCCATTCAAACTAATAGAAAATTACATAAATCTAATTGATCAATCAATTAAAGGAAGAATATGTATCAATGTCATTTGTTGAACTGAGGTGATAGATGTAGAGAAATTCATTAGTCATATTAATTGTAGTAATTACCAATCATGCTGAATGATACCAACTAGGGAATTTTATAGAAATATGAAATCTCATACTGTTTCTGAAGTTACTAAATAAAAAATGATGTGTGGTGTATGCTACTTATGTCTCTTGGCATAAGTAGTATGTAACACAAATCAAAAGTGGAATGCATGGTAGCAAAAGGTTGAGAAGATCGAATTAAAGAGAATGAAAATGTTAACAGAGAGTCTCTGTTATAACAATGAGGGAACGACGAGGTTTGAGACAAGTGATGGAGGATTTGCAAATGAAATATTTATTTTATGATTTTTCATATTTTACGAAACAGCTCAATGATTTTGCATTGAAAATAAATTGGTTGCCCTAATATGAGTGAGCTCTCATTCACTACAGATACATATATATTCCAACGAAGACTGATAAAAAATTCAGTAATGATTATCCACAGCGGGATAACTCATATCCTTTTTATTAATAGATAGGATGAATAGATCGAAATATATGTCGTAGATTCCACTATTACCCATAACCCATCTATTCTGTAAAGTACCACAAATGTTAGTCATCTATTTGTAAATTCTTTAAGTCATGATGTAATCTGTCTAAATATTTCAGTTTACTGCTAGATTTTTGTAATACTGTTGTGACGTGCGACATCCGAAATCTGGTACCGATAAACGGTATGCTATGCAATAACCCCCCTCCCAACTGACTACTTGGGCAAAAATACAAGAATAAGCGAGAAATTGTATTGGATTACCGAATGAAATGCACAAATACTTATTTATATATATGCCACTTTATCCTCAGGAAATTGACCCATTTCTTAGCCAATTAAAATGCACTTGGCCTTTGGGTCACATCTGATTACCATTGATTAAACTTTTGCTTCTTTAGATTAGCTGTCCATATCAGATATGAAAAAAGGACACGATAAAATGTATTGTATGATATATCACAACTTAGTTTAAGCTCAAAAATATCCATTATCATATTACTGATTTATTCCATGAACACAGAATATAACACTCAATGTAAGATTGTTGATACATTTATATCTGTGATATAATAACTGTCAAGTAGATCTTAGTTTATATTCATTAATTAGTTTAATGTAAATCTTATTTTCAATAATTTCATCATAAGGCTCTACAACTATAAGTCCATATTTGTAATAGTCATTCGGATATCGGTGTATAGCAGTGTCATTACACATCAAATCCAGATTGATTTTCGCTTCTATGAATGTAACTCTTATTTGTTTGTTTTCCATCAATTATATTCTAGAATGGAAATAATTTGAGGAACAATATGACGAACTGAAATATTCGCATAGATCACCAATTTTATTAAAATTACATATATCTGATCCAAAAATTATATTTATACCTAGTTTTCGTGAAATTCGAGACTGTCTATTACATTGTTTCCAAGCAATAACAAATGCTGCGGAAAATTTGCCTAGAGTAAGTGATTATAATATAGAAATAAAATAAAATGAGTTATTGAAATTCATTTGGTGTTGTTTTACTTGTATTTTCTCATTATTATTTAAGACTGTATTTGGTCAGTTTCATGCTGGTATATGTACATGCTGTGCGAATCGCCTCGATATAGCCCTAATTCAAAAGCTTTTTAAGCAAACATGGATAGTGGATAGCATTGGAATGCAGTTTGACATGTGTTTCGTCCTATTTGGGACTCGTCAGTTGGATAGACAGGCATCGCAGAGTTTATGTTCACTCTGAGACTCGAATCCAGTACCGTTCGCTTCAAATGCCATCGCGTTATCCACTTAGCTACTGAGTCCTGATAGCAACCTTGCTCATGACGCTTGTAAATTAAGGCAATACGCACAGTATGCACATATGTTAATAGCAGACTGATCAATTGCAGTCCTAAACATCAATGGGAAGATTCAAGTAAAACAATACCAAGTGAATTAATGTTATAAATTGCCCCGAAAAACATAAAAAATGCCTGTTTTAAATTTAACAAATATTTGTTCAATGATTAGCTGTTCCAAACGTAAGGCTTATAGAATCTAAAAATTATCCCAAATTTATTACTAACTTTTTGATACACTTTCAAGCCTAAAGATAATATTCTAATTAATACATAAATTCTACAGTTATGAACAACATCTTATACGTTTGTGAATGTTTTTTGTTGTACTTTCACATATCTAGTTAAGGGTGGCCAAACCAAAACAAGGCCTCAATCTATATAGTCACTAAATTTTGGTCTGAGCGATGTTAGTAGATACAGACTACTGGGTTGAGATCCGAACGACTATTGTAATCAGTGGTTGGAGACTTTGGGTGATATATACTCATAATCGATCACATTGGTGTAGGTGTATACACACTTCATCTTCCCTTAAATCGTCAGGTTAAAACTACGTTATACCCCAATTTTTTCGAACTAATTCTTTCTCCTTTTATCATACCCTTTTTTGCAATGTTTATATATATACAATTTACTATGACAATTATGTTTTAATGTCACAATATATCATAGTTTTACTTTTGTTTAATTAATTTTCTTAAAGGTTGAAGTGGATATTTTCCCGGAACTAAGCTCACATTCATTATACTTACGTTCAGTAACATTTAGTGATCAATCAATAATTGAATATACAGATCAAGCAATGATTATTTTTCGTGCTAATTCAATAGGACCAAAAGATTATTTGGAACTATATCGTCCATATAGTAATTTATTTAATAATAAAGCAGAATTAGAATTGAAAAATTTTCTAAAAGAACGTCATTCATTATTAGCTATTAAAAAGGTAGTTTTTAGTTATTAATTTTATTTTTTATTTTAATAAATTCTTCTTGAAGTTTTAGTGAGAAGCAGTGATCAGTAGAGCTCAACCGGGTCTGTTGTAAGATTGTAACACACTGAATACACTAGTGGATGTGTCGCTCAATTTCGTGGAATGGTTGAAGTTAGACACAAACACTGTTAGATGCCGGTTCAGTGGTGTAGAGTCTAGGCGTTCGTGCACGAGACCGATAGGTCCTGGGTTCGAAACCTGCGGGCGGGATTATGAGTGCCCACTGCTGAAAAATCCCACACTAGGACGAAACGGCCGTCTAGTGCTTTCAGGTTTTCCATGGTGGACTAGATTCAATTGACTCGTGAATTCAACTAATAAATTATTATAATATCCACAAAAAAAGCTTCCTGAGAAAAATCATTATTCATCCTTAATTCTCGCTGAGTTCCACTAGTATTTTAGTTATGAGTACTTTTTAATAAGTAATGTTTTCAAAGAATAAAATACATATGGTCATTACGTATCTTTTCATTATTTTGAAAGTAAGATAGTTAGATATCTTACATAAACTAATGTACCACGTTACTATTGTGGTGTATGCTACTTATGTCAACAGACATGAGTAGTATGTAACCGCAATCAGAAATTGAATGCATGTAAAAATAAAGTTGAGAAGATTGCACTGACGAAAACAGGAAAAGAAAATGAAAGGAATTGAGAAGTGAGAGAATCATGAAGGATGTAAAAGACAACTGGTGAATGATTTACAACTGAAGTATTTAATTCATTTTACTAAAGAACTCTGTAATTATTTATTCATCAAGATTACTATGAGACATAGGGATGTGTGGTTAGTCAAACCTAGAAGTGATTGACCTCTAAACGTGGACTGACAAATACTCAGCTTGCTATTTAATATGTGATTTTCTTCTTATAAATGATTTCTACTCTGGACTCATTGAGTATAGACAACTTGTATTTATGTTGAATAAATTATTATCAGAAGGGGTTTTGTGGAGATTGTAGTAATTTCAACAGTTGAGACCATGAGTCAATTGAAGCTAGACCATTACGGGAAACCTAGAAGCACTGGACGGCCGTTCTGCCCTATTGTGGAACTCAGCAGAGCTCATCCACTACCTCGCCTCGCGGGATTCCAACCCAGGGCCTATCAGTCTCGCGCTAGGCGCTTAACCGACCAGAGCACTGAGCCGGCATCCAACGGTGTCAATGTCTAACACCAACTAATCCACGAAACTGAACGACTATTCCACCATTGTCATCAATGAGTTACTATCTCACAACTGACCCAGTTGATCTCCACTACTCACTGCTTCTCACTAGAACTCCACGATTTACCTGTTGAAGCCAGTCACTAGTGAGCACACGTTGATTTGTACCAGAAATTATCTAGTTTATAGTCTAAATCTTTATTTTTGGTGGGGAATCTTTTACCTAGAAGAGAGTATCAACTGAATCAATACATAAAGAGTCTAAGAAATAGTTTTCAAATAGGTTTTATCCAAAAATTAAGTTCACTCAACTTATTCCTACACTGTTTTATATTCATTTGGGTCGTATTTTCCTATTTTTATTTACTAACTCTCTGAGCTACTGTTCTTATTTGTAATATGGTAGTTTATTCTCGAAGATCAACGTGAAGATTTAATAAAATTCCAGACTGGAACATATTATGCTTGATGATAGACTTCACAGCCCTCTAAATTAAACATAACATTCAGGTGTGTCTATGGTTATAACTCATAGTTTTATTGGTTAAAACATCCATTGCGTTGGATCCTGATATATCACGCAGGTAGATTGAGGGCAGTTACACTTAAGGCAACAAACGCATAGTCTAAATGTGAAGTCATACAGGAAATATACTGGGGTATGTTGACATTAAAAGGTTTTCCCTAGATAATTATCACCTGTGACTGTTGGAAAAGTTGAAAACTAAAAATGGTACACCTCACCATGCCTCATGTATTTCCTTTCATAACACTAAGGTCAGGAAGCTAAGGGGGCCAGTACACCGAATACTATACACATAAATGCTGTATGTAAAAGGATTCAAACAGTCGTCTCGTTGTTTCTGCTGTCAAGATCTTAGGTATTCAAAACTATCTATAAGCTAGTTTCCTTTACAGGTTCTCCAAAACGAAGCAACTCTCTGTGGTATAGACAAGTGGGAAGTGACTACCGCTCCTACATTTTCGGCAGCATAAGAGTTGGTTTTCATTACATACTGACATTTGTTGAATGACCTTTAGAAAGTAAGAATCACTGAACAGATTATAAACTAGATTATAAACTGAATTTATAAGAAATTTAAAGATGTAGTGAAATAATGATTAATCATTAAGCGTGGATAAATAGGCGTTTAACCTACTAACTACTAAATATTATGATTTCCTTTTTTCTTATTGGTTTCTACTCTGAACTCACTGAGAGTGTATGCCTGTAATTGTATTGAATAAAATATTATCTAATAAATGCTCTTGTTCTATATTCTGGATTGTGAATCCTGGATCTGATATAACATGATCTGATCTCATTGTATTAATGTATTATATTAGTATACCTAAGAGAGAGAAAAAAATATTTCTAACCATCCGTTATATCATATACTGTCATTAAAATTCTTGTTTGATGCAATTAGCTCCTTATATGAATTTAAATAAATCCAGAACAAACATGGATGCAAAATAATATGAATTCATTATATTTTGTGGTTCCTCATTAGCTGCTTACAACCATATATGTATGGAAAGTTTACATTGAAGTAAGATATAGGGTTAGACAACTGACATAGATAAATGCAAGGAATTGGAATAACAAAGGTTGAAATAAAAAAACATAAGGGGTGGATGATGCATTAATTAAGTGAGGTTCAGAGATGGATTATGTGATAATTTTAGAAGCTATGAAGGGTTTACATAAGATTCCTGGAATTAAAAAAACTGATAATGTGGGTTACGTAATAAGCGAATAGGATTTGAAGAGTCTACATAAATAAAGACAATTGAGTGATTGGAAATGTATGAGTGAAGGGATGGTTTTAATGTACATAAAAATAGAAATTCGGTATGGGAAAACCACATAATAAAACGAACACTAAAAAATAAAGATAATGACAAAAATGATTTACCAGGGTAATAATAGGTTGCCTTCCTATCCATAACACACGAACAAATGCAGATGACGAAAACTAGTGTAGCAACAGTCTCAGCATCAGTAGGTCTCAACACACACAAGGGAGAACCAAGGTCCTCAAATACAACACGGAGAACAACAATCCAATCACAATTTATGGCAAAACTCTGGAAGATGTAGAATCTTTCACGTACGTGAGAAGCATCATCAATGAACACGGAAGATCGGATGCAGGCGTAAAGACGAGGATCGGCAAAGCAAGGACAGCATCCCTACAATTGAACAACATATGGAACTCAAAACAACTTTCAATTAATATCAAAGTCAGAATCTTAAATGCCAACGTCAAGACAGTCCTACTGTACTAAGCTGAAATGTGGAGAACTACTACCACCACCATCAAGATGGCACAAGTATTTATAAATAGTTGTCTACACAACGTACTCAACATCCATTGGTCGGATACCATCAGCAACAGCGTACTGTGGGAGAGAACAAACCGGCTTCCAGCTGAAGAGGAAATTAAGGAAAGACGATGGGAATTGATAGGATATACATTACGCAAATCGTCAAACTGCATCACGAGGCAAGCCCTAACTTGGAATCCTGAAGGGAAACAGAAAATAGGATGGCCAAAAAACACATTACGTAGAGAAATAGAAGCAGACATGAAAAAGATAAATAACAACTGGAATGTGCTGGAAAGAAATGCCCAGAATAGGGTTGGATTTAGAGTGCTGGTGAACGACCTATGCTCTTTCACGAGAATTAACAGATGTAAGTCAAGTAAAAAGAAAATAATAGGTTGTTTGATGATTCACTTTTCATTTGTTTATTGGTTAATGCTGCTAAAATCTGTGTAGTGAATAGTTCTGTACACTGATGAAAGTATACGAACTAGGTCGTGAGATAATTTCATTTTGAATACATACTGTTTAATCTATGATAAGTAGTTTCACTGAATTAAAACACATTTCTAAATACTAAATGATAAAAAAGTTTCTTATTCATCCATTTTTCTTTGTTGTTATTTTTCTTATTTCTATCAAAAATTCCACCGTTTATGAATAGAAAGTTGAAAGTTTACAAGATTTGAATACTGAACTCTTATTGTTACGACAAACCGTCCCGATGAGTTTATTTTGTTTAAATTGTCAAGATGTAAATGATGAATTAGTTAAACGTGTGTGGAAACTGCATGATCTAATAGCTTCATATGAAATGGATGAAAATCGTGATGCAAACAAAAGGTATATATGATATAAAGTTAACTACTTTTTCTAATCACTATCATTAGTAGGATTAGTAGTAGCAGTTAGTAGTATGAGCCTGTCATAACCAATTAAATGTTAAATATTGTGTAAGAAAGTACAAGAACTACAACGAGTTCCATACATAATCAACGTGAATTGGAATTCCATTATCTATGACCTAAATATTAAAGCGAATCTTGTTACATAGAATAGAGATTGCTTCTATTTAACAACTATATAAGGAATTAATGATGCGTATTACTTCAAATCTGTCGCGAAAACTAGACACAGACATATTTTGGACAACACAGCTGTGTGGTACGTATATTATTTATTCTGATAGAACTCGATTTTAAATTCAGAGCAAAAATGAGACATTTTTTATGCTCATCAGTATTTAACTACTTATTAGTAGTATGCATTTAAAAGATATCAACTTTTAGTTATAGCTAAACATAAAATTAACCAAATTGATCTCAATGATCCTTTTTAAGAAAAATATGTTTCATTTTCTATTTCATCTCCTATTTCGTCTCCAGAATTTCTTGTCAGTATGATGAAATAACGAACAGACTAGGTGAAACCCCGATGAATACAGAAGATTTAGTGAAACTACAAACATATTTACGTGAAGTAGGCAATACATTGGTATTTAAATTGAAAGAAGAAGTAGCTGAAGCTGCAGAACGACTAAATTTTCTATTGGATTATGCTCTTTTATCATGTAAGTTCATTATTTACATACATAGGACTGAAAACGTGGTGCTTTTTATATTTGGCGTATAAATTCCACTTGTTCTGTATGGATAAGTGATGACGTCAGGTCGAATGATTTCCTTGATATGTTGTTTCACTTGACACTATGTAAATAATTCATTGTTTCCATGGGAATGAATTTAGAGTTGTGTAGTAGACTACATAATTTAGTTTTAATGTCTTCATTTTTTAAGGTAAAATTTGCAGAAAACTTCATATTGATTACATCTTTTCCACCTTAGAATATGATTCTATAATTGTTCTCATTGGTTCTAATTCCTTGTCTACTGATGAGAATATATTACTTCATTAGATTTCTACATTGAATTGGCTTTTTATAAGTTAGTAGCCACTGGGTGTTTAATTATGCATTGTATTATGCAGTTACTTTGTATCCCAGCAAAGGTACAGAAGGCTCGACTAGCTTTTGCCAACTTGCGTCATTTATGGAGTAGGTGAGATATCCGTCTACCAACCAAAGGACGAGTTTACTGTGCAGCAGTTTGTTCCGTCCTAATTTATGCTGTGAAACGTGGCCAGTAATAGTAGAGGATATTTTTAGGTTACTAGTATTCGACCATAGGTGTCTTCGAAGCATTGCTCGTATATCCTGGGACCACTGGTGAAGTAATGGAGTTGTTAGGAAACGGGTACTAGGTAAGGATAGCAAATCAATTGATGAAGCAGTGAAACTTCATCAGTTGAGAAGGCTGGGATACGTGTTACGTATGCCCAGCCATCGACTGCTCCGATATGCGATGTTTCACGGTGTAGGAGTAGGTTGGAACAAAGCTAGGAGCGGCCAGACCAAAACATGGCACAAATCCATGAAGTTTCTAACAAGTGGACCGAGCCATATTGGTAGGTGTATACTACGTGGTTGGGGTCCGTGAGATGATAGCAAGCGATGGCTAGAGACCGTGAATAACATGGCTCAAAGTCGTTTGCAATGGCGTAGGTGCATCCACTATTTATGTTCGCCCAAATTACAATCTTCTGAATTCTTCATGTCCCTTATTTCCTCTTGCCAAATTTATTTCACTGGATTATACTCTTTAAATAACATCTTCAAACCCTAATCTTTCTGATTACCGCTTATACTCTTCAGTTTATGTTGCTAAAATATGCCACAAATAAAATCGGTCAAACAAATGTGTATAAAATTTAACTGCTGACTAACTAGATATTTATTGAAAACTCCTCCAGACGTAGCTATAATCCCTAGTAGTTAGTTGGAATTTAAATCTATATAATCTTATTTTAATGTATGAATACTTAGTCTTATATCTACCCAGATAACAATATCACTCCTTATTGGGACATAGATCAATTACTATTGTCATACCAGTCACTAATTCCCTAAGCTTATATGATACAGATCAGGAATTATTCGTGCCATTTAAAAGACAGTAATAATAATAATAATAATAATAATAATAATAATTATAATAATAAACAGTAATAAGATGGGATAAATATGCTATCACTGATACTATTTTATAATATATTACATAAAATGATTTCCAATCCCCTATTTAAATAAAGTTCATTTTAGTACTTAAATGTAACCAACTTAACATTAACTCGAAGATACCTGAAAAGTACAAATACCCTATAATAAACGTCAACTCTGAGATGCAGGTACACCCAGCTGATGAGTCCGAAATAGGACGAAACGCACATCAAACTGCATTCCAATGCTAGCCACTATCCATCTTCGCTTAAAAAGCTTGTGACTTAGGTCTATATCTAGGCAATTCGCACAGCATGTACATATACCAGCATGAGACTGACCAATTGCAATCCTAAATAACAATGGGAAGATACGAGTAAAACAACACCAAGTGGATTTATTTATTGTATTGTTCTAACTTGATATGGAAGATATCCTAAAGTGAATCAATCAATGTAAACAAAAATCTATACGATTAAGTTTAAACTGAAGAGTATGGTTATGATTGATGAATTCAAAATGTTTGGACCAAATAATAAACAACTATCTCTGTGTCTTAAACTTATCAGTCATTCAGTCAGTCAGCTACGACGTAGGACCAGACATATATATGCATCGGTCCAAGTTGCCACACCTCATAAGCACAGAAACATGAACTCCGGATTCATAGAAGCGGTTAACTCAATGGTGGTAATATATAAAAGAAAGATTTTGTGCAAGGATATAGTGCAGGAAGAGAGAGTTAGTTCGTAGGAAGAAAGGTATGAAGCGATTTTAATCGCACGGTTTAAGAGATGACAGAGAGTGTATACACCTATGTGGTCTTAGTGACATGAAAACGTGACCGCAGTGCCCAAAGGACAACTGCTTGAGGTCTGTCACACACATTTTTGTGAGTAATTTTCGTGTCGACTTTGTACTTATTCGAACCTTACCACCGAAGACGGATATCTGTAGGATAAGGCGAGATGTGCATTTTCAGGGTCAACCTTTTCTAACCCACCACTCCCTATGGGATGGCAGCATCGCTGTTATGCTGGTTTTCTGAAGGAAACACCTTACTGCTGTCACATCTCTGAACATTCAGCAGTTCGATTTCGGACCTTGGGTTTGCTGCTTTTATTCTTACCGCTCTTCAATCGACCTGTCTGGCATGGCAGAAATTTAAGGAACGACTATTCCAAACATTATAGCTCGACTGGTTAATTACGATAGGCAAGCCCGACCATCACGTCAAGGTAACAACAACGGTCGGGTCTGAAACTTATAACGATATTTTAATCCGCTTAGTTCTGTAGATTCATTAGATTCTGGTGATATCATTTTCAATATCTACATTCACTACAATCAGTTCGATATCTTTGTCTTGTTCTTCGTAAATGATTTTTTGCCCACTATGTGCTGTTGAAAGGTTTTGGAATTTGAATTAGTATACTCTTATATATAATTCCAGAATGTTCTGTTTATGTTTCCTTCATTTTATTCATTACTAACTTAATCACTATTATTACAAAAATATATATTGTTATATGCATAACTATACGATTATTGCAAGATACGATTGACAATTTAGATACGCTAACTTATACACGACCAAGTTAGTGAGACAGACACTAGTGCGAGCAGCCTAGAATTTCGATTGGTCCTTTCTCTGACTATCCTTGCCTGTTAAGTCTAAAGCGTCAATTTCAGTCTCCGTGATACGAATCGTTTATTTCAAACATACTAAGTTGATAATATGAGCAAAATCAGATTACATCACACCACAAAATAGAGGGTAACAGTTATACAAGATGAAGTCAGCAAGTGGCAGTGATTGTGAAGGATTGTTACTAATAAATTGGGAATATCTCATGAATAGTAAGTCGTATGATAATAGTTAATAGGTCAAATTAAAGCTTATAATGAAAGGAATATAAATATACATATAATATAGTTACTTAGTAGTCATACAATAAGAATATTTGTAGAATATTACTTCATAAATAGATCCCAACAGTTATCTTTCATTATTCTCTCCAAGATATAACATATAATTACCAGGAATATAATTTTTCTTCTTTTATATCTTACACATTTATTCATAAGATGATGATATCAAATTAAATGCTACATTATTTAATTGGCCTGAACAAATTATGACTATAATTGATAATACAAATATACGTTTAACAACATTACGTGAAAATGCTGAAGATGATTTAAAACAAAGAATAAAAGACTTAGAAAAACGTATAACTAATGCATGGGATCGTATTAATTTAATGCGTCGTCGTGAAGTAATTTCACTTGATGAAATGCTAAAATCTCAATCAATTCTTGATGATTTTCAAGCTGATCTAGAAAGATTTACATTGGATGCTGAACAAATCAATAAGTAGGTTATATATGGTTAATTATTGTCAAATGAATAATAACTAGTTATCTCATCATCTACACTATGGTTTTGAAGTTGAACTGTATAAAAGTGAGATAATGATCATTTTTCTTGTTGATGTAAATAACGTTTTAGATAATGACAAACAACCACAGTAATGTATACTAATACTATTGTGGTATGGATTAATTATATCCACATAAGTACTATATAATAGTGGTCAGGGATAGAATGTATTTCAGTAGAAGATCGATGAGAAAAGAACGGAAACGGAACGCAGTTGGTATGAAAATGCATGAACAATAAAATCTGAGACAATTGACTGATATTTGCAGAAGGAACAGTCAAGTTTGAGACGATGGATTGATAGTTTGCAAATTAAGTATTTACTATATGGTTCTCAGATTTTAATGAGATTTTCTGTAATTTCATGCCGAACATATTTGATTGTCCCAACTCCTGTTCCTGTTCACTATATTATCATTAAGGATGAATATTATTCTATTCGGAGAAGCAATAATGTACACACTTTGATTATATATCACATTTATGATAACGATAGCATTAAATTACTTAGCAAGTCGAGATACCCACTCACTGAGCCACCACGTACGTTAAAATATATAAGAAGAACTTGAGATATTTATAATGGATCAATATGTAATGGTTTATCACTGACAAAATAGTTAGATCCTATTTTTGTTTTACAGATGTAAAACCATGTATGTCACATATCTTATCACTAGAACTTCAGAAGATTCACTGTAAAGCTGATTACTATTGATCATATGAATTAAATTAAGTTTTAATTATGTACCGCCCACAATTTATTGATTTCTATTAAATTACTCATTTAATCTATTTCTCCAAGAATGAAATTTATAATGCATAACTCATCAATTCAAACAAAAAGTAGATATATATCAGAAGGGTTTTTGTGGATATTATAGTAATTTCAATGGTTGAGATCATGAGTCATTTGAAGTTAGACCATCCTGGTCCAGTGCTTCCAGGTTTTCCATGCTGGTTTAGCTTCAATTGACTCACGATCTCAACCATTGAAACTACCATAATATCCACAAAAACCATTCTGACATGAATCAACATATGCTCACTAGTGACTGGCTTCAACAGGTATATCGTAGAGTTCTAGTGAGTTCAACCGGATCTGTTGTGAGATAGTAACTCATTGATGACAATGGTGGATGTGTCGCTCAATTTCGTGGATTAGTTGAAGTTAGACATTGACACCGTTGGATGCCGGCTCAGCGGTCTAGTGTTTAAGCGCTTGCGCACGAGACTGATTGGTCCTGTGTTGGAATCTCGTGAGGCGGGATCGTGGATGCGCACTGCTGAAGAATTCCACATTAGGACGAAACGGTCGTCGAGTGCTTCCAGGTTTTCTATGGTGGTCTAGCTTCCATTGATTTATGATGTCAACCATAGAAAGTAGATATGTTAGAACGCCTACATAAACATGAAGTTGGCTAATACTATTTGAATTGAACAAAAGTTACTAATTATTGATTGAGTGTACTGATTTTATTTAACTCTGATGTGTTTTGTAATGTTTCCTTTCAAGTTTTTAAAGATTTTTATTACCTATGATATATTATTAATTTCAAAATAACATCTCATATAGTTTATAATTACTAAGAAACTTCATTGTTTAATTGAATGGTTTAGTGGAAACAAATACTCATTATTAATAATCAGCTAAGTACTTTTTGTCCTGTCAGCAGGATGATATATTCAAGAATATTCCATGAATGTAGAACTTCAGAATAGATAAGTAACATTATTCATAATATCAAATGATTAATTTTATGATGTATGGTAATAATGTGATAAATCAAGATTAGGATTACTGATCAACAAAACAGTATCCATTTTCTGTATACCTATTAATGTTTCGTGTTCTGTTTCAAATCACTTTATTGTTCTAGGCAGCCGATGTATGGATCCAGTTGTCTAAACAGATGTATTTAAAACAGGGGAAGAATTGGGTTGTTTTCATGCAGTTCTCTGTTATTCTGAAATGTTCGGAAATCTCTATAGAATCAATAGTTCATTTCATCTGATGTTCTATTGATTTTGTTATGCGTATTCATTGTTACATCACCTTTAACCGTGAAGTTAGTGATAGTAAGCTAGATATAACATTTAAAAGGTTTCATCAACACGTATAACAGTAGTTTTTATTGAATGAAAGGTGAGCAGGTTGAAATTCTGTTCGCGTCTCAATCTATTCCAGCCATCTGACTAAGTTATACACTACAAGAAGATTTAAATCCCAAGCCTATATTACTAATCTGAATAATTATGTTTATATTTATTCATCACTATTACCAATCAAATTTATTCAACTGCTTTAATTATTTAAGTTATATGGTACTCGATTTAGAACCTGTCAGATGGATGTACCTCTATCCTAGAGATGAGGTTCACATTGACAATTGCTCTAAATAATAAATCACTCTTTTTTACATTTCCTTCTAACTGCTTGCTTTTAAATGAAATGTTTTAAACAGAGAAGAAAGTCTTGTTGGTTGGGAGCAAACATCATTCCCGCAAATTGTAGAACTTAAACAACAAATGGAACCATTTGATAATTTATGGCGTACTGCACTTGCATTTGATGTATATAATAAAGAATGGTTTGAATCACCCTATCATACATTGAATCCAAATGAGATTGAACAACAAATTACTGATATGTATAGAATAATGCATAAACTTACCAAAACTTTAACTGAACTACCAGGACCATCTAAGGTGGCACAAAAAGTTAAGGTAAGTTAATAATTGATTTTAATTGGATCATTCATATTAATCTATGTATTATTCAATATTTACATAAGTATGAAATTCACTCGGTAATATCAAAATAGAAAGTGTTATTTAAAGATTGGTAGAAACCTGTGCATAAACTCTTTTATATTATAATTTGGAAATACTTCTTATACATATATGTATCTCCTTTTAACATCTTGAAGAAAGCACGGACAAAGATTCTAGCTTACTTGCTTACTTACGCCAGTTACGCCTCGTAAAGCAGCATAGACTGCCCATCACAATTCTTCGTCGGAATCTGTTTCGGTCAATCCTTTACAGTCGTTTCCAGTCGCTATTCTTTTTCTTGATGTCTACTTCTAATTCTCAACGCTCTGTGCTCTGTGTTCTTCCTCTTTTCCGTTTCCCTTCAGGATACCAAGTTACATTCTAGCTGAATAGCATGAATTCATTTTATTTCGTTTGGTTCTCGCCAGCTGTCTACAACAAGTGATATTTGAAAAACACAATTACTTACATGAAAGGGTTTCCTTGGAAGTTATTCTGAAGACATTTTATTATAGTATAGCACAAATTTAGTGCCTGATAGTAACAGCTTCAGCAAACTTCAGAAGACTGGAGATTTGCCGTTTAGTAATCACCTTGGAAGATTGTAAGGTATCGACCTGATGTCCAGTATTCGAGAGATGTTTGATAATTACACTGTTTGAAGTCATTCTTCCTCTTGTTCTAAGGCTTTTTCGAACATACTCAAAAAATTTAGGATATGCTCTCCTTTCTACTAGGCCAATCTAGCTGCTTTGGCGAGTACACGTAAATTTATAAACACAGTTGATAGTAAGATGAAAGGGATGCTTGTTGACATTTGATTCGATTATTGAACGTGTTTTATCCAGAATCAATACTTTAGCTGCAGTTAAGTTCTGAATAATGCATTGTTAAGTCTCCTGTAGATTGTGCTTGCAACGTCATCACCTTAAAAGCTGAGATTTACAAATATTGGTTTCTTATTGATTGTAGCCACTTCCGTCTTGTTTTCTTTTTTGAATTTTATATTTGCCAATAAATTTCTGTGGGTAGCATTTTTCAACGTTCTTCAATTCTTCTTCCGATTTGTTAGTGGCACATATTCTTTCTACTCTATAAAATAGCGTTCTGACCAATGCTTTCTTGTAAATGATTAGAAAAAAACTATTGAAATTCACGTAAAGATCGTTTCAAGTACTTTTTCAATAAACCGAACATTGAACTTTCCCGTCTCTCCCATATAGCATGTTCCACTTTCTTGATATTGCCGTATAACGTAAAGGATAAAGGTAAGGGGATAATCAGCTTATGAAATACAATGTTGAAATATAAAGAGTGATCAATAATAGTCTTGAATATCTACAATGGGAAAGCCTGATAGAAGATATACCTTATTGCTCACATCTGCTGGGATCATCGGATAAGTAATAGCAAGATTAGACCCAGGGTATTAGAGAATGATGGTAAATCAGTTGATGAGGTTGTGAATCTTCATCGACTGAGATAGTTGGGTCACGTGTTGCGTATGCCTGAACATCAATTACCACGACGCCCAATGCTGAATAGCGTTGGAGACGGTTGGAAGAAAGTTAGAGACGGTCATACTAAAACATATCATCAGTGCTTCAAGTCATCAGATTCTAGTCATAGCCATGTTAGTAGATGCAGACTACTTGGTTGAAGTCCGCGTGACTATCGTAACCAATGGTTGGAGACTGTGGGTGACATGGCTTAGAATCGATTACAATAGAGTAGGTGTATACACTCTCTGTCTACCCTAAAACTACGAGATTAAAATCGCCTCATATCTTTCTTTCTACGAACCAATTCTTTCTTTCTGTACTATATTCTTACATAAAATCTTTCCTTATATAATAAATCATCGATTTAACTGCTTCTATGGATCCAGTGTTCGTCTTGCTGTGCTAATGAGATTTGGCAACTTGGACCGATGCACATATGTGCCTGGCCCTACGTTGTAACTGATGGACTGACTGAGATATACCTTAACATATAATGTTAGAGACCATCAGTATGGAATTCTAGCTAAAGATTTTGTTTTCTGGAAGTATTAGTTCACGTAAATAATAAAACATTTTAAAGTTCTATTTTAGCACTTCAATGATTCATTAATAGAACTGTTTTTCGGTTAATCCTCAACATTTTGTTACACCGTTCTCTGGATTTTCTATAATTCTTTTTTATTGTTCCAAACAGGATAAACTAACTAAATTTCAACAGTTTTTACCAATTATTCACATTGTCTGTAATCCAGGCATACAATCACGTCATTGGGATCAAATGAGTGAAATTGTAGGCTTTGATATTAAACCAATGGAAGATACTAAATTAGTGACATTTTTAGAATATGGTTTAAAACCATATTTGGAGCAATTAGAAGAAGTTGGTGCTGGAGCTGCTAAAGAACATCAGCTTGAAATGGCTATAGCTAAAATGAAAGGTGAATGGAGTTTAATGAAGTTTGAATTGATATCTTACAGGGATACAGTAAGTAATTTTCATTTGATTAGCATTCATTTGAGATCTTTCATACATCTTGTTAATGTCTGTAAGATTTGCTATATCAGCTTCACCGAAACTACATGTATCATTTAAATTTACCTTACATAATATGTTTATATTCAGTTTAATATTGACAATGAAATACTATTGTTATATTGTAAAAGTAATATTCATGTTATTTCATTCAAGAATCAGTCAAAAGTACTCAAATACAAACACACTTAGAATTATACCTAGGACCTACAATTAACCATAATATTTAACCATAGAAGTTAATATCTCAGTGATTTATATCACTTAAATAATCAAGTATTTATCTTAATATTGAAGTTTCTTTCAAGTTTATTTTGTGTATTAAGTAGAGTTTAGAACTAAATACCAATTTGATGGAGGTTCGTTCTCTGAGCTGGATGGTTTTATCGTGGAGCTTTCATCGTTATTCTGAACGGCAGCATCGGCAAAAACTTCAGGTAGAAAAGAAGTGTTCGAATTTATCCATGTGGTTCACAGCTTGTCCTGTAGACTTCGATGTTCATTGGTTGTTGTCGACCTTGAACCTGTCATTGTTTACTTCTTTATTTTGGTTGTTGTCCACATGCACTGATATAAGCGAGGATATGTCGTGGCGTTTGATCGCCGAATTGATCTAATTTATCAACCAATCAGAAAAATTATGACCAAATACAGGACCATATGATTGAAGCTCCCCGACCAAATTATCCAGCTCAAAGAACAAAACTCCATCAAAATCATCCACCTACGCTACAAATCTCCCCATACCAATTTATTTTTGAAATATAATTCCTTAATATATTTAGAGCAGAGTTACATCTTATTATGATGACTCAAGTCTTGAGAAAGTTAGAACATCCGAAAGTACTTCTTGGATTTTTTTATTGTTTAGTCAGTAGATAAGTATATTATCGTATGCTTATAGTCTCTTTATCATAAGCTTCTTGTAGACCTATTATTCGTTTTATTATTCTATAATTAATGATTGTATTTAAAGTATAATTTCATATGTGGTGTACTGTCTGGTACGATCGTTTGTATATATAAGCTAATAATTATTTAATAAAGCTCTGATGGCTGTTCTGGGTCGTCGAAACGTTCTAATAATAAAAGCCGAACTGCAGAATCCCTTTCCCACTTAAGACTAGGGATGGAGAAAGGCATGAGGATATATGACTAATGGGAGTGTAGTTTACTTTAGCTCAAGGTTAAAGTTGAAAGCTAGACTGTATCTATATTCAAGGTTAATGACATTAGACTATAACGGGAGTAGCAGACTCGAGGTAGAAGAATTATAATTAGAATAACACGTGGTATATATTAACGTTTCAAGACAAAACAACCCTGCAGTACAGTTGTTAAAAATCTGGAACTGTTTGCAAAAAGATCTACGCTTACAAAGTGATGCAGATACGGTTCAATTACAGGTAATATCAATGAATGACTACGTAACTAAACGAATAAAGTTTAATAAACTCACTTAGTGAATTCAAGACTGAAATCATGTAATAAGTAAAATTGTTTCAGGAGAGTTATTGTTACGTGGATAAAATGGAAATAACGTTTCTAGCATCTTCATATATACGTCAGAGAGGAAATACTTGGTATCAGTGACCTCTATTATTTTAATAATCTCCGGAATAATTTCTTTATGTCTACTAAATTCCTAGTATAAAGTCGTTTCTTCCTTCTTGTTTGCATTTTGGTAATTATCATTAGAATAACATGGAGAAACCATAATTTCAACTCTTCTTATATATTTAGCTGAATAAATACAACTGGAGAAAATCTCAAAAATGTTCTACCTTTGATTAGTTCAAAGAATATATATAATTGAAAGCGGTTAAACTGTTAAAATTCTCCTTTACAATGAAATTCTGGTACATGTGTCAACTTCTCAATACTGTTATTACACATCTTCCAGAATACTCTTGTTAACTTGGTGAGACTATAATTTATGAACGAATCAATCAGACATAAGATAAGAGGTCTTGGATTTTGGCGTGAAATTCATTCATCCATTTGCCTAATTAGCGTCTCGATATTGTAGTTGATGTCAGTTAGTAATGAAAACTCTAAATCTAGCTCTTAACCCTAACCATCAGCTCCAAATCATAATTCTAATTCCTCACAGTGCTTTATAACCGCCATTTAGTCCTAGTTAGTAGGTAGACATCCTCAAGGTCACTAAGGCGTCGCTCAAAGATCCTCCATAAATTACGGCTTCACAAAGTTTGTAATGTTTTTCTATTATTGAGTTTCAGTAATACGTTTGATCGGTTTCTGTTTTGCGGTATGCGCAATTTAAATGAATATTTCATTACTGCCTATAATTACAAGTTCTAGTCATATTCAGTCGTTTTATGGCGCAATCAAAAATAATTGGTATCAGTCATTAGTACAAAGACTTTATTATGAATACTCAACAAGTTGATGACTATTTGAAATCAATGGTCAAATGGTGAGACTATTGGCGTTGAGACGACAATTAATAACGTCGTTGATGAGTCACAGAATAAGATAGTACGCATGTTTTAAATACTATTTACCTATTACAGCTGTTATACTTAATATAGTTTGTTCATTTCATTTGACATTGGTTTTTTTCTCAGGGAATATCTATATTATCAGCAGTTGATGATATACAAGTTATATTAGATGATCATATCATTAAAGCACAAACAATGCGTAGTTCACCATATATTAAGCCATTTGAAGAAGAAATGATTGCATGGGAATCAAAGCTGATTTCAATGAATGATATATTAGATGTATGGTTGAAAGTAAGTTACAATACAATAAGATAAACGTAAATTGAAGTATTTCACTATAGTTCTCTGTATTCATTTTAAGAGAACAAGAATTATTATTTAAGCTGAACTACTCTATTCATGAACTAGTCATGAACTGGATCATCTAAATTTTCTGTAAACTAAGTATTACTATTATGAACGAGAACACAGGTGGGGACAACCAAATGTATTTTATTACAAAGTTAAAGAGTATCTTGGTATAATATAAGGACCATGCAGAAAAAGTACTTCATTTGCAAATATTCCACTAACAATTCTTAACATTCTGTATGATTCTTCCAATTCACAATTTCTTCCTACTTCCCTCTCTGTGTTTCTTTTCAATTCAATCTTCCTAGCTTTCTGCTGGCATGCAATTCAATTCTGATTGGTGTTACGCACTACTTTATAGATACCTTGTACTAGATAATCATTTCTCAGCAATATGAACCTACAATCTCACATGAGATTGAATTCGATCTTCAGGTTTCATGTTGTAAACGGTATTACTAGACTAAAGATTCGGAATCTATCTCCTATGAATGCACAAAATTGGAAAGTTTCAAGATAGAATGAAATAACTTTAATTTCAGTTCGTAGTAAAAATTCTATAACTTTTGAAATGTTTACAAAACGTTCATGTAACTTCCATTGAAATTCACTTGGTATTGTATTTTTCTTGTATCTTCCCATTAAGGTTTAAGACTACAATTGATCAGTCTGCACATATGCCAATAACAGATTGATCAATTGCAGTCTTAAACCTCAATGGGAAAATACAAGCAAAATACAGTAGCAAGTGAGTTTAAATTCACCCCATTGCACAATCTATTGGCTATCAGGACTCAGTAGCTGAGAGGATAACGCGATGGCGTTTGAAGTGAATGATACTGGGTTCGAGTCCCGGAGTGAACGTCAACTCTGACATGCAAGTACATCCAGTTCACGAGTCTCAAACAGGACGAAATGTGCGTCCAACTGGATGCCACTGCTAACCACTATCTATCTTTGCTTATAATGGCATTTAAATTGTTATTATTAATCATCTTTAAGATCGTATAATCATTATGGTTAATATGTTAAATACAGGTACAAGCTACATGGTTATATTGGAGCCCATATTTTCATCTGAAGATATTTTAGCACAAATGCCTGAAGAAGGCCGTAAATTTGGTATTGTCGATGTAATATGGCGTGAATTAATGTCTGAGACAGCATTAAATCCAAATTGTTTAGTAGCTACTGATCAAAGAGACATGTTAAAACGGTTAAATGATGCATATTTATTACTCGAAGAAATACAAAAAGGATTAAATGATTATTTAGAAAAGAAGCGATTATATTTCCCACGGTTAGTCAATCAACTATATTTATATAACTATTATTTGATTATACATATGTAGTGATTTTTTTCGTTGAGATGAAACAAGTTTCAAGTCTAGAGTATAAGTGTTTCGTGCGTGTGACCGAGAGTCTTGGATAGGGGCGGCCAAACCAAAACATGGCATCAGTGCTTCAAGTCATTAAATTCTAGTCATAGCCATGTTAGTAGATGCAGACTACTTGGTTGAAGTCCGCGTGACTATCGTAACCAATGGTTGAAGACTGTGAGTGACATGGCTCAGAATCGATTACAATGCCGTAGATGTATACACTCTCTGTGTTCCTTTAAACTATGAGATTACGACCGCTTCATATTTTTCTTACTATGAACTAGTTCTTCCTTCCTGTACTACTATACCCTTATATACAATCTTTTTTACATATTACTACCATTGAATTAACTGCTTCTATGAATTCGGCGTTTATCTTGTTGTGCTAATGAGGTGTGGCAACTTGAACCTATGCATATATGTGTCTGGTCCTACGTTGTCGCTGACTGAATGATTGTCTATACTGCTACTATGTTTAGTAGCGTTTCAGAATTTTACGGAAACCCAAGGTTATTCAAAATACCATAAAAGACCTAGATTTTCTGTACATAAACAAACCTTGGTGTAAAGCCTTTCTTACTTATTTCGTGCCTCTTCTTTCCTGTTCAAGTCGCTATGTAGATTTAGCCTAGAGATCACTAGAACAGCTTAGGAACCAAACCTATCGTTCAATTAAAAGACATCAGAAATGTTTAAAGAGTTGTAGTTCATCAGGACGATTGTATCCGTACACACCATCATCAGTTGTTAATGATTGTTGTGCTTCTTTTGAATTTTTTTGCCTTATTGTTAGATTCTTCTTCTTATCCAATGACGAATTATTAGAAATTTTATCCGAAACAAAAGATCCCCAAAGGGTTCAACCACATTTGAAAAAGTGTTTCGAAGGTAATTTATACAAAAATAAATGTATGCGTTATTTACAAATGTTATGATTTGTATAAGTTTAATTAGTGGCTAAAGTGGGAAAAGATAAGAAAAACTCCTTATACGAAATAAGAATCTAATGTGATGATATTGATTAACGGTCAATTTAAAAATCTACTTCAACAACGATAATGAATAGAAAAGAAACGACCTTATAATAGGCCTTTTGTACTGAAGGAGAACACAGCTAAGGATAGCCGATTATATTTAGCACAAAATTATAAAGTTGCTTGGTAAAATAGAAAAATCATACTTTAATACTTCATCTGCAAGATGTTCATTAATTGTCTCAGACTTCATTTTGCCTGCATTTCCATACGAATTGGTTCCTGTTTTTGTTCTTTCCTCCTTGATCTTCTCAAACATTTGCTGCCAGACATTCTATCCCTGACTAGAGTTATAGGCGAGATTTTAATTTATGGACGAACCAATCAGATTTAGGATAACAGGTCTTGGATTTTGGCGCGAAATACATTCATTTCTCTGGCCAAATAGCGTTTTGGCATTATAGCTGATGTCAGTTCGTGATGAAAACCCTAAATCTTAATCCTCATCTTTACCATCAACTGTAAATCATTGTCTCTATTCTTCAAACTGCTTTATAACCTTCATTTAGCCCTATTAAGTAGGTAGACACTCTCAAGGTCACTTTGGTGTCGCTCAAAGATCGTCTGTAAATTGTAGTCTCACCGCGTTATATACTAATTATGTCGATATAAGTATCACATCACAATTTTATAGCTTGAGGAAGAACAATGAATTATGTAAATCCAAGTGAATTTAAATTAAGTGTCCACTGGAAAATGGCCATTGTTATATTTGTTTACTACTTAGTGGGGATGACGAACTTCTACCGATAAAGTTACAATTTAACCACTAATTCAAATAGCTTGTCATCACGTGTACTATATTTTGATATCAGGTAATTTAAGGTGGTCGGTAAGAAATCCTAGAACTAGACTTCATGTTCATGATGCTCTTCAACAAACCAGAACGAGATGGATATCTAATGCACTTTCGTCCTTTTAAACCTTCAGTTATTATCAGACCGATATGAATATCATCCCGAAAAAAAAGCGAAAGTTTTAATAATATTATTATAGTTGTCTGATGTCCATAAAATAGGCTAGTAGGTTGAGCGTTCGCGCGTGAGATCGAAGGCCTTGGGTTCGAATCCCGCGGGCGAGGTCGTTGATGTGCACTTTTGAGGAGTCTTACAATAGGACGAAACTGTCGTCCAATACTTCCAGGTTTTCAATGTCGGTCTAACATCAATCAGTTCATGATCCCAATCAAGAAATTTTTTAGTTTAAAATCTATTGTATTGTTAATTTATTTTATTTATTTATTTTAACACATAGATATTAGTACAAATACACATGCGCCACACAGATCTCACTTGATATATGTGAGGGCTATGATACTGCCCGCGTGCCAAAACCGAAGCAGGTGGTTTTCTTAGGGGGCCACATCCGGAGCCTTCGACATGAAGGTCTGATCCACAAGGCAGTGGAGTAATTGTATTGTTAAACATTGTTGCTATTTGTTTTCATAAATATTTTACGGAAATCTTATCTGTTATTTTGTTTTTCTAATTGTTTATCAATCTATTCAACATTGTCATTTATTTGTTTACTATTTAGGTATCAGTCGATTAATATTTACAGAACAACAAGAAATTATTGGAATGACATCAGCGGAATCTGAATCAGTACCGTTTGTTACAAAAATTCATCCAGCTAAAGCTAAGGTAAGACAGTCAGAAAGAAAGAAAGATTCAATTGATTTGAAACACAAAAACAGGTGTAATTTATTCACATAACACATTTTAAACAATCTGATTTTCATGTATATTTACTTTGTCAAGTCACTGATATACCTAAAAGTGATTATTTAAAATAGACCTACGTTGTAGTTGACTGACTGTCTGACTGAATCAGAATATAAATGAAGTGATAGAATATATACATAATAAAAGGTTATCAAACTATTCTAGGCAATCAAATGAATTAAAGGTTACCGAAATAGATCTAAGGTTAAAATAAATTGGTTTTGTACACTTAAAGTAGGCTCTAACATTTTATTAACCTGGATTTGCACAAACTTATAAATGTGTTCCCCCTCCGCAGACAACTTTTTACGTAAAGATAATAAAAGCTATTTTAAAGTCAATTTCATGACCAGATATATTGTACTAATGATAAGCATAACTACCTATTCTCCGTATTTATTTGAGTATATAACACTAACTGATTCTAAGGCTATTTAAGCATTACTCATCACTATGTACTTGTGTTTATAAACATATATATGAATTGGTTAACTTAAAGAGATGCGACTTGATCATCCATGGAGATAATGAAATCGTTGTATTATCATGGATTTAGTTTTTTCTATGAGAATTCCTTACACAGTATATACACATTACTCGATGATGATTTTCAACTTTTGTTTCAAAGTAACACTGTTTTATTTTCCTTTTTACTATCAATGTGATTTGAATCCTTTTCTTTGAGCCGAAATTTCTTTTTCTATTCCTAAGTTATGCCCCGTTTATCGATTACAGTCTCCCACATTCACAGCCACTTTTTAGCTTGATCTTGTATAAATATTATTTTCTATTTTATGGTATGATGCGGTTTGTTTGACTGGTATATAAATCAAGTATGTTTGAAATAAACGATCTGCGTAGCGGAAGCTGATGTTGGCTTTCTGAACCCAACTGGACGAACTAGGCGAACAAAGGATCAATAAGGACGATAGGCTGTTTATACTAGTCGAACGTCATTGGTTTAGTACAGTACTAAGATTGAATAAATTGTATTTCGATTGGCGAATAAATCACACGATAATTAGCCGAGCTTAATGACACAACAATATTCAAAAGATGTGGTCATTTATCAACAAGATGTAACGAATTATAAATGTGAATCAGTTAATGAGTAACAAAATTATATCATATTGCAAGGAAATTTATAAGGTTAGAAGGAATAATAGTTGAAATAACATTAGTGGTTAAAAGCTATACACATATCAAATGAGTTCGAAATGAACGAATGATATCAAGAAATTGTGATATTGTTATGACAGTCAAGAACCTAATGCAATTTTCATGGATGCTGATTATCTTAGTGATCCATTATCTACTAATGAGATTCTCAATAAATTTGAGGGAAATGTTTTAGAAAAATCAGACCCTGATGACCTCAAATCAAATGGTGTTCATCCCCACCATCTAGTCACTTTTAGTGGATTCTCTGTTCAATGTGACAAATATGTTTTAAATAAAGTCACATTAATTTTAACTTGAGCATATGAGGATCCAATGTTATTTCGTGCGGGAAGATAATGTCAGGAAATTTGAAGTTTGAATATAAACGACGAATCTTCAAAAAAGAGAGGTGTTATATCCCGAATAGAATTATGAATGGTAACTTTTGAGAACTATTTATGGACCAATACGATATATATATTTTTATTGTATAATTGTTATGTAACTAAACTATACATATTCATGTTCCTGTTATTAAGAGCTTCATTTACCGTTCTTGAATTATGCTCAATCGATTAATTACAGTCTCTCACATTCATAGCCACTTTTGGCTAGATCTTGTACAAATGTTATTTTCTATTTTCTAGTACAATGTCGTCTTTTTGGTTTGTATATAAACCGAGTATGTTTGAAATACATGTTTCATATCACAGAGGCTGAGATTGGTGTTCCGGATTAAACAGGCAGGGTTAGGCAGGAAGAAGGACTGATAAGAACTTTAGACTGCTCGTACGGGTTTACGCGTCATTGGTCCAGTCGATAAATCACTGTTCGCTGATTGGCAGTATCATTTCGTTATATATTAATAAGGCACAAGGCTACAGGTTATAACAGAAATAAACACAGAAAATAATAAGAAAGCACTAGGTAGAGAAGATAAAGAATGAACTCAAATATGCCATTTAATCTAGTAGGTTGACAAGATCCTCAGTACTAGGCTAGTTTCGTTCTCAGCTTCCGTAATAACAAGTATCCCTCTACGATATGAATAAATGAGAAGTTTTAATCACTCTAGTACTTTAAATAGAGATTGCGTTTCATTTCTTGTTTTTCTATAATTCGTCGTCAAACTTTCCTCCTTAGTTTTATTCTCTTGTTCGTTCCTTCAAATATCACCTAGTTCCTGAAACTTAGCCTCAAACTACATATATCCCCACTGGTATCTCAGATGATGTTCTTTACTCTGCAATAAATCATTTAATTGATAATAATGGCTTTCAGTGTTATTCCGAACAAGCGGACTCACTCTTCCGATTTTTGTAAACTTAACCTCCATCGTTCGTAATCTTACAAATGCATATAAATTATCAAGTTCGAAAGGTGAATGGCTTCTATTAGACTGATAAAGCGTACACTACTTTGATTCGAACAAAATGAAAACGTTAAAGGAAAATGAAAGTCAACAACTCATTATTCAAGAAATGATGTAATTATATATCTTGCCTCGACTGTTGCTGCTACCAGTCGAGCTATACTGGTTGGAACAATCGTTCCTTAAATTCCTACCATGCCAGACAGGTCGGTTGAAGAGCGGTGATAATGAAAACAGCAAGCCGAAGGTCAGAAGGCAAAATCGTACTACTGTCTGCACAGAGATGTGACGGCAGTAGGGTGCCTCCTTCAGACAACCAGCATAACAGCGATGCTGTCTTCCCACAAGGAGGGGTGGGGTTAGAAAATGTTGACCCTAAAAATGAACATCTTGCCTTATCCCACGGATATCCGTCTTCGGTGGTAAGGTTCGAATAAGTACAAAGTCAACATGAAAATTACTCACAAAGATGTGTGTGACAGACCTCAAGCAGTTGTCCTTTGGGCACCGCGGTCACGCTCTCAAGTCACTAAGACTACCCTTAACCCAATTTCCTTTACAGGTAACTCCAGGAGAATCCTTCTACGGTGTGGGCAACCGGGAATCGATAACTGCCCTCATACCTCTAACAGCACACATGCATCGAAATCTTGAATATTTCTCATCTAACATTGTTAAACAAATAAAATCATTTATACTTATTTACTCATTTTAACTGTTATATAAAGGTAATAGACGGATATATTTTGTTTATTGTTCTAGGGTATGGTTGAAAAATGGTTATTACAAGTTGAAGATGTTATGTTTAGCAGTTTAAGAAAAGTGATTGCCGATAGTGTTCATGAATATCCTGATATTTTAAGAAAAAAATGGGTATTAGATTGGCCAGGTCAAGTAAGCTTCATATTAATTATAGTCTAGTTTTCATTTCATAATGAATATAATGGTTTTCCCTTTTTTTGAATGAATAAATAAATAAATAATTTAAGGTAAAGGATAATATTTTAATAACTTTAATTTTAATAAGCCAAAGAATGAAAAGTTCTGTCAGTCAGCAACAAAGTAGGACCAGGCATGCATCCGTTCAAGTTGTCAAACCTTATTAGCACAACAAGATGAACACCGAATTCATAGAAGCAATGAATTCATTGGTAGTAATATATCAAAGAAAGATTGCATATAAGGATATGATGCAAGGAGAAAGAATTAGTTCGTGGTGATGATGAATTAGTGAAACTTCATCAGTTGAGATGACTGGGACACGTGTTACGTATGCCCAACCACCGACTGCTCCGATGAGCGATGTTTCACGGTGTAGGAGTAGGTTGGAACAAAGCTAGGAGCGGCCAGACCAAAACATGGCACAAATCCATGAAGTTTCTAACAAGTGGATCGAACCATATTGGTAGGTGTATACTACGTGGTTGGGATCCGTGAGACGATAGCAACCGATGGTTAGAGACCTTGAATGACATGGCTCAGTATCGTTTGCAGTGGCGCAGGTGCATCCACTCTTTATGTTCTCCCAAATTAAAATCTGAATTCTTCATGTCCCTTATTTCCTCTTGCCAAATTTATTTCACTGGATTATACTCTTTAAATAACATCTTCAAACCCTAATCTTTCCGATTACTGCTTATACTCTTACTACTTCTACCACTACGGGATTTGAATCGACAACTAGATCCCTGTGCTAATGTGGTAAGGCAATTTGAACTGATGTACGTACGTACGAAGTTCTACGTTGTTACCGACTGACTGACTTCACTCAATACTTTATCAGTGAATTGTTTAAACTACAATTAACCCATATATCTGACTTAAAATATACTACTCAAATATAGATAATCAGTATTACATTAAATTATTATTCATCATTACTACATTATATAATATATATTTATTCTTTATTTTTCATTCTTAATAGGTTGTTATTTGTGTATCAAGCATTTATTGGACAAAAGAAGTACAAGAATCTATTAAAAATAATCAATTAACTGAATATCATAATAAATGTAATCAACAAATAGATGATATTGTACAATTAGTAAGAGGAAAATTAACTAGTGGTGAACGAATAACATTAGGTGCACTTACAGTAATTGATGTACATGGTAAGTAAATACATTTGATAATGATTATCTAACATATATCTTCTAAAATAAATTGACATTAAGTATTTCTACTAATATTATAGTGTATGCTACTTAAATTGACAGCTGTAAGTACTACGTAACATCAATCAGATGTTGAACGCCTGTCAAAAGAAGGTTGAGAATATTGCACTGAAGAAAACAAAAAAAAGAAAAATAAACGAATTGAGAAATGGAAAAATCATAAAGGATGTAAAGGACAACGGATAAAAGATGTGCAAATGAAGTATTTAATGTGTGATTTTCATAATTGATCAAGAAACTCTGCAATTTTGTACTAAAAAGAAAGTGATTGATTTTCCCCACCTGAGTTTTTATTCACTACAAAATAATACTGCAATGTTTAGTTCATCAGTTGTAAGGTTCATCAGTTACATTTATTTTGTAGTTGTTTGGTCTATTGTTAGACTTCTGGAGGTACCTGATTTTCGTAACCAATAGTTGGAGACTGTGAGTGACATGGCTCAGAATCAATCACAATGGCGTAGATGTATACACTCTCTATCTTCCCTTGAACTATGAAATTAAAATCGCCTCATATCTTTCTTTCTACGAACGAATTCTTCTTTCCTGTACTATATCCTTACATGCAATCTTTTATATATTACTACCATTGAATTAACTACTTCTATGAATTCGGCATTCGTCTTGTTGTGTTAATGAGGTATGGCAACGTGAACTGATGCAAATATGTGCCTGGTCCTATGTTGTAGCTGACTGACCAACTATTCTTAGACTCAATCAAACACCAATATTCATAATAAGTTCAAATCTTCACCTGGAAAATTGTATATATTTTCCAATTTAGAGTGTTATTTTTATAAGTTAGCCGTTATTATTACTTGAACTCTTTCAGTCAACAGTCAACAATAACTATTAACTTTAGATTATTAATCAAAAGAAATATCTGACTTCATTGAGGTTACAACTACACAATCTTTTGTCTATTAAAAACTGGCGTAAAAAATCAATACTGAAAATTTATTCTTGTCCCTTCATCACTTAAAACTATGTTCAGTAATTTAAAATCATTCGATGTAGACATAAAAAATCTTTTATACATTTATTAAAGGCCTATAAATTTTCAAAATTTCTTTTAGGTTCTCAATGTGTTTGTTATATGAACCAAACAATTAAACTCTAATAAAGATTATCATTCTCTTCATGTTCACTTTCATGACAAATAATTTTGTTGATTATAACTTTAGCTACTTAATAATAAACAGTAGCACAAACTTTTAAATAAAAAATGAAATTTGCTCACAACATCTAAAACGCTTTATATACTATATAATATTTTAAATAAACTAACGTTGTATAAATATTTTTGAATTGTTTCCAAAAACGTTTTTCACATCATGTTCGAATTAAAAATTCAAACGGGTGTCCAAAATGTTAAGGAAACAAGGTTCTCTAAAATAGAAGATACGCATCTGTCATATAAAATAAAATAAATTTACTTTAGTTTATAAACATTAAAATAATTTGCGCATATTGAATTCTAGAATCAAGCTACTACTTAACTTATATTATGAGAAAGAAGATGGGTAAAATATGGGTTATTCAGGGTAAGAGTAATCACAATGTAACTGACTAATAATCTTATTGATTGTTGGGTCCGAGGTTTTGTAATGTGCGGAATAAGATTGAAACAACCTAATAAATTTCATAGTTTATATCATGATATGTCTTGTCTGATGACTGGTCGTCACTGATTTATTGTGTCGGAAACCCTTATCAGTTATACTCGAGACGAGGAGCTTCTGCAATTCTCACGACGCGAAAGTAAGAACACAAAGACTGGTATAAGTGAAGATTTATTAACCCCCAAAACACGACGGTGACCAAATATAACAAGTAGCGTTCAATCCGACAATACAAATCAGTGGCAACGGGGATGAAAAAAAGAACCATGGTCAGTCAGCAAGTGGACGAAAACCAGTGTAATTATGTCAGACAATCAGCATACAGAACTGTCGTCGGTGTCCTTGTACGACATTGGTTGTTAATTTGTAATACAGTATTTTCTATTGCTGTGCTGATTCATACAGAAACAGAGAATATCTCTCCCTTGCGATCAATGGCAGTTGCTGTTTCGGCGAAAACAACAGTGTTTTAAAGTGAAACAGTCGGAATTTATAGACAAATTACAAACATGACTGCTGAATCATCAATGCTTTGGAGATGTGACGGGAATTAATTAATTAATTTCTAAACTGCGTACAAAGCCGGAAAATGATTGCAGAATGAATGAATATGTCAGTGGAGCCTTCTATGAATCCCTGACAAGCAAAAATTTAAACGAAACAGTAACAGTCAGACAATCCGTCCAGTGGTCCAGTAATGTCTATTTCCGAGACGCCCTTTCGTAGGTTTAAATCCCCGAAAAACAATATACAAACACTGACTTGTCCAGCCCACAGAAGGACAAGGTCTTGTTAAATGCTCATGAAATTGTTGCAGTACCCACCCACGAAGAAACAGGAAATAAATCAAGCAACATAATGAAGACATTTACCCCAAATGATGCTCATCATTCCACGAGAAAAGTTTCTGATATATCTATTTATCGGGATTCTCTAGTTGTTTGACCAGATATGGGTTATCTTAGTGACTCACATGTTTTTGATGACATTTCTTACAAAAATGAGAAAAATACGTCGGATGTGTCAAGTGATGATCAAGAACTTTATGAAATTTTGATAGATGCTGATTATCCTAGTGATCCATTACCTATTAATGAGATTTTCAAGAAATTTAATGAAAATGTTTCAAAAGAATCTAAGCTCTAGATATAACATATCATGAACTAGTTGATCTTAGTTAGACGGTCATTAAAAACCATGATGCACTGGAAATCTGTTTTACCTAACTATAAAACTCTTCTGATGTTCAGCGTTTTCTGTTTTTAAACGGTCTTCTAGTATAGATCATCTCATGATATAGATCATAAAATCCAATATTCTTCTCAAACCTCATTGAGTAAACATAAATCTAAATCGTGAAATTGCTAAATGAAAATAGTTTTGAACATTAAACTTATTAAGTCACATTACAAATTCGATTATTAATGATTGATGTGACTAATAAATAGCATAGTATGAGAAAAAGTGGAACGTTCTTCTTTCCTGTTTTACATGTAATATCAAATTATTGATTTCTCGTTAAGTATTTGCGCACAAAACACAAGGTTCTGGATTCTTGTCCCGCATTCAGGATCGTTAATGCGTACTGCTCAGAAGTTTCATACTAGGACAAAACGGCCGTCTAGTACTTCCAGGCTTTCAACGGTTGTCTAACATTGATTGACTCATGAATTTAATAATAAAAATACTCAGTTTCCTCCGTTACAAAAATATAATTATCTATTATTTTCCTGATAACCCTGAATTTTTCTATAGCACGGGATGTGGTAACGTCTATGGTTAAGAATAAAGTGAGTTCAGTTCAAGATTTTGAATGGTTAAGTCAACTGAGATATTATTTCTTACCAGAAGAATCGAATAAAGTAACTGTATGCCAAATAACAACTGAATTAGATTATGGGTTAGTGTTTACTAAAATAATTTGCATTTATTGATAATTTTGATTTATTAACCTAGAGTTAAGTTTATTAAAATAAGTTTTTGATTGAGATCATGAACCGATTAATGTTAGAACACCATTGAAAACCTGAAAGCACTGGACGGCCGTTTCGTCCTGTTTGGTGACTCCTCAGCAGTGCAAATCCACGATCCCGCTCGCAGGATTGCGATCCAGAGCCTTCAGTCTCGCGCGCGAACGCTTAACATACTGGACCACTGAGCTGGCATCCGACGATGTTGATGTCTACCCTCAACCAATCCACTAAATTGCGCTACCATTTTCTATTGTACTGAGGTAGATCCTTATCTCTACCCGACACGGACTACCTCCACTGGTCACGACGTCTCACTAGAACTCCGAGAACTCCCTCACGAAGCAAGTCACTAGTGTGCACATGTACTCTGGGTTAGAATCCCGCGAGCAGGATCGTGGATTCACACTGTTGTGGAGTCCCACAATAGGATGAAACGGCTGTCCAGTGCTTCTAGGTTTTCAATGGTGGTCTAACATCAATCGGTTCATGATCTCAATCAAAAACTTGACAATCTCCACAACCCCTATACTGATGGCTAAAGTAGGTTTACATGTATCGATTTACTGTGAATAATTTATAAATTAGAAAACAAATTGCAGATATGTAACTATTCAAACGTAACTCAACTAATATCTGGCAACAGAAACATACATCTTAGTTGAACGAAAATACAAAACTCATTACCATCAGGGTTCTGAACCAGTTGCTCAATAGTATCGTGTTAATCAAACTCTCTTATTGTTTGAAATTTTAGCCTAGTTGGTGAGTGTTATCAGAAACAATCAATCAGGGCTGGTTTCGTTTCTTAAATTGTTCAAAGTGATTTCTAAATGTAAATAACCAGTTTAGTGCATCAATGTAGAGTACAAATTTACAAGTAGACCATTAAATCACTAGTCATTAATGCAATTTAACTGTAACACTGAAAACAGCGAAAATCCAGATACAAATAGATTTGCGCTTATATATACAAATTTAGTAAACAAATTAAGATTTTAAGCGTGAAAAAGTAAATACGAAAACCAAGAAATTTATAATACTCACAACTGATTGATCACTGGATGATGATCAATGTCATGTGTGTCAGGTTCTTTTCAGTGTAGATAGAATCCTATCGATCAAGTTGCAATGTTGCTACTAGTCTAAGTGATTCGACATGGCATGCACTATGTTGATATAAGATGGTGGTTTGAGGTATTCAACAGGAAACCCTGGACCAACGTTTCGTGCTACTTGGCACTCATCAGCAAGCTGCGCCTGTAATCTTGAGGAAACTGATGCTTCCTGAAAGATTCGATACCGTGTCACCTAGTTTCACAGTCAGAGACGTTACCACTGGACTCAGTCCTACAGAAAGTCAGTCGTGGCCATTAACTTCCCTAGATCATTATAAGGGTTACGAGTTTTCTGCTGTATGATATTGCCTATCTATTTACAGGTAAGTTCAGTGTAATTTAATCTATGACTCAGTAGGCAAAGAATGTTAACGGTTTATGTGTGAGAAATCTCAATACATAAAATTTATTTTGTGTAATGCCCACTATGATGATCATCAAAGTGACAAATGTTCTTTCAGTATAAGACAAATGCCCTGGTACGGCCGAGGGTGGGGGAGACATCTCTCTCTCTCTGCGAATGCCCTCAAGTGGCCATGCGTAAACAGTCATTGTTAGGGAAGTCCTACGCACTGCCTTCTCGCGGCGGGGGTTTTGTTTACGGAATCGAGAGGACGAAAAGCGAATGTCCGGAGCTTTAACCGGGTTGTTGGACACAGAGGGTCCATCTAAATGAGTTGGAAATCTAGCATCCTTAAGTAATAAAATGCTTATGAAACGATTATTGGACACTGAATACCATGAGACTACATCTCCTAACGTTGCTCCAATGCCTTGTGAACTAGACCTTCAGGTCGAAGGCTCGGAGTGTGGGCCCCTAAAAAACCACTTGTTTCGGTCTGGGCACCCGGACAGTATCACAACCCACATACAAATCAAGTGACTTGTGTGGCTCATATGTATTTGATGACCCTTTGTACCAACATTTGTGTATACAAATAAATAAATATACAACACGGAAATTTAGAAACGAATCAAAATACAATCTTTTCATTAATATCGAATAGTTTATTGTGGCCCAGAGATCTGACACCAGGTAGATCGTTTACTGATTGCTATCGAAACATACGTGTCGCCAATCCTCGTATACAATTATCGGATAAAACAGTGTCAGTGAATAACGGAATTAAATAAGTCGTATACGATAATGGATTTAGAATACGAATTTTTCATACAATCATTGATCTAGACAGACGATCAAAGAAACGAAGCGAAGAAAGCAAAGAGAATAGAGAGAAGCGAAACGAAACGAAATGATAAAACGGTGGAGAACACATTTGAGTTAACTCGTTCTAATCAAGCGTGACTGAATATCTATAGTCAAACAAAAATAAGTTACAGACATGTGATGAGTAGGATAAGGTATAGATACACATAATATCACATAAAAACAGTCAAGGTTGACAAGCGAATAATGAACAAGATCAAAATATATCTCAAAAAGAACAAATAAATTGGTCAATCCGAAAGCTAAGATAACCTATGTGGACTTGATATAGGGCAAGCTCCTACAAGTTTATAAACATATTTCGTCATATATTTTCGGTTAATTAATAATTGTTCTTCTTTCACATAATAAGAAATTACTTTGGTATTTTTCCTTTAAAATTATAGTTATGAATATTTAGGCAATACTCCAAGATTAGTGATTACACCATTGACGGATAGATGTTATCGAACACTTATGGGTGCATTAAAATTAAATTTGGGTGGTGCACCAGAAGGACCAGCAGGAACTGGAAAAACTGAAACATGCAAAGTAAATTTTATTTTCAACTTTTATTTGTGATGATGTCTGATTTAAAAAAACTAATTTCTGTGTTAAACGTTCAACATTTATGATTGTTTGAATACTTAAATACTGATACTAAGTAATAGATCTGTAGAACTCTAACTATATATATCGGTAGTTAATGAAGTCAAAATGAACCTAATGTTTATTGGCTTGATGATAGACTTGAATTATACAAGCCAAGGAACGCTACCAGGAACGTCGATGTACAATCTGTTGCGAAAAATGCAAAACACCTTAAGATGCCTGATGAACTCATACGATTACTCTATCAAGCATTCAAATCAAAGACACTCAAATTGGCAAAGACGAATTGATTGTACTTTTAAATGTCACAGACTTAGTTATATCAATTAAGTTGAATCTACCAAAGTATACTAGATCCCTGATCAACACTGACTAATTATTAAGTAATATCTATAGTTATATTTTTTTATCGTTAGCTCTAGTCATAGGTTCATATGATTATCAAATTGAAAAACTATAACTAAAGACTAGAATAATTCAAACTAGTGAATAAAAAAACTGTCTAGTGTATAACGAATTCAACTAAATAGCAAATACAACTGATCGCCCCTTAGTATCTGATAGTTTAGTTAATCATAACAATATAAGTAGACAACATCTCACAACAGCAGAATAAACTATCCAATAATATTATTCAAGCGGAGTAACAATATGAATCAAGATCTAAAGTAGAACAATTTTTATTTTGTCATTCAGAGATATGAAATGTTGAGGATTCATCTAGTTAGTTCCTGTAGAAAATCCAGTCTTTTAAATTGATTGGTCATCAGGAAACAAATATATCAACAAATGGGATTGTAATTATTCATAAAATGTATTACTGTAGATGATCATTGTAATGGAAAGTTTGCTTATTAAGTAAGGTTTGTAAACCAATGGGATTTTCTCGAGTAAGAACAATGGTAACATACATTTTGTTTTACATCTAAACTGGTACGAATAATATCAGTCTAAATTCAGCAATCTCCACAACCCTATAGTGATAATTATCATATGCTCACTAGTGAAGATGGAATTCTAGTGAGAGGCCGTGACTAGAGGAGTTCAGCCGTGTCTGTTGTGAGGCAGTTACTGACTGAAGACAATGGTGGACGGTCACACAATATCGTGGATTAGTTGAAGTTTGGTCTAGAGACAAAGCATTCACGCGTGAGACCGACGGTCCTGAGTTCGAGTTGTGTGTGCGGGATCGTGTATACGCACTGATGAGGATTCCTATACTAGGACAAAACGGCCGTCCTGTGCTTCCAGATCTTTGATTGTAACCTAGCTTAGATCGATCCATGAATTTAACTATTAAAATTGTCTGAATGGTTTGTGTGAACACTAACATTCTAACGGAGAGATTCATACAAATTGTTTTTGAAGATAACGCGTCTGCTGTATCTCATCGTTTTTTAGATAATCCTATCTCACTGAAAGCAACACAATTTCTTTAATAAATACAGTAGCATAGCTTAAGCCTTGAGCAACATATTTCGTGTAAGGGCTGATCAAACCGAAATATTTGAAATGTGGTTTGAATCTATGAAACCGTAGTCAGTAGTCAAACATTTGGTTACATAACTCCTGGTTTACATTCATCATCGTTTACAAAAAGAGCATTGTAACTCTGACAATTTCTTAACGCTTCATTTCATTTTATATCTTTCACATATCAGGACTTAGCTAAAGCTATTGCAAAACAATGCGTTGTATTCAACTGTTCCGATGGTCTTGATTATCGTGCAATGAGTAAATTTTTCAAAGGACTAGCACAAGCTGGTGCATGGGCATGTTTTGATGAATTCAATCGTATTGAATTAGAAGTATTATCAGTAGTTGCTCAACAAATTCATTGTATACAAACAGCTATCAGTGCTGGATTGAAACGTTTTGTATTTGAAGGTACAGAATTAAGCTTAAATCCAACGTGTACAATGTTTATTACAATGAATCCAGGTTATGCTGGGCGTCAAGAACTACCAGATAATTTGAAAGTAAGTTTATACTGACTAAACATTGTTAAAATATGTTGTCATTGAATTAAATACCGTGTTGATTCCAGATAAGACAGATATCACTCTCACCGACTGATCAATGCATCAATTAATTGATTCATTTAATACATATCCAGTGAGAATGGTTTGTAAATACAGTTTATATTAGCTTAGATGACATTCATCTTGTAGTTTACGGTTGAACATTCCTCATCAATGGTTTGTAATGGATTAGACAATGCCTATGGAAATCAAGGTATTACCTTGTCCATATCGGTTTTCTATACACAGAACGTTTGATGAAACTATCGTCTCTCTTAGTGATCAATACGTCTAAAACAAGTAGCTAGTTGTTCATCTTTTCCTCGATGGATGTAAGAGAAATATGCTGAGTTGGGATCTTTTACCAAGCAGTTTACGCCTTCACATATAGCACCGATGATTATGATAGTGTCCACGTACTACCACTTACACAAACAGATCTTTGAATTGAGTCTTCAGCTAGATTTTCAATATATCCCAATAGTCAAATTAGATCAAAAGAAAGACAAATATCTTCCTCCATTGAAAAACATTTGTTGAGACCGACAAGGTTTCAATAAACCTTAATGTACGTCCTTAAAAGCTTTTGTACAAAACTGCGGTTGACATTAAATGGACGGTAATTATGAT